TGTCGGGGGGCGTTTTGGCCAATGTCGGAAAGACTTCTGGGTTTTGTGGCAGAGAGCGAGGTGCTCTGGTGACTTTCGGCGGCCGCATGAGCAGTCGAGTTTGGCGTCTTCGTGGTTGAACTTGCGGTGGTACCAGTCGAAGTCGCCATGCGACGAGCGGAGGGCAAGCCAGCGGTGGAGCGCTGGTCGAAAAAGAAATTGTTGTGCATCATCCATGAATCGAACACGGGCCCTTTTCTTAGGCGCCGCAGTGGATATGTGATTTGTAGACTCCATAACCCCGGAACGGATCCCCACAAGAATGACCACGCAACTGCACCCTGCCGGAGAACCTCATACACTCCGAATTCCAGGCCGCACGACATGGCTTTCGCTTGTGAGCTTATGGGCCAGTTGCTGTGCTATGAGCCTAATCCTGACACCCATCATAGGAAGGCAACACGACAGTGGTATTTCTAGGTCAATCTTCCTTCCGGTGCTCTGACAATTGCTCTCTGTGCTCGAGTTCTTTAAGCCCCCATCCATACATCGCCACCAGAATGTTGTCCAGTGAATCGAAAGCCTACATCTTATCGGATGTGGAAGGTTTATTCCAACTATTGTATTGCTGCTTCTCACGACGATGTGGGTGGCATGCAATATGATTGGGACTCGGCAACGGTGATCGGCCTCTTTGTAGTCAGACTAACAGTCACCTTCCTTGTCTTGTTTTCCTTCTGTCATTTTGGTTCTTTTGGAATCGGGAACTACGATCTTCCCGAATGGGTTCAAGACGTGCAAGGTGGAACTCCGAGAAGCGGTACTCGGGGTTTACCTTTGAACTCTCTCAAATGGCGGGAACACTGTCTGCTGATATTCTAGATAAGCTCTTAATACCATGATCTCACGCTTCAGCTGACAGTCCTCCCAAGGTCCGTGATCAGGACCATGAGCACCTAAAGTGGCGACACCTCAATCGGGAAAGTCGCAGCTGCAGCCCAAAATCCGGGTACATACAGCCACATTCAGATTCATACACGTAATCTGTACAGCATGCTGCAATGAAATCTTAGCTGGCAACTGAGCATCGCTTAACTTCTGACATGTGCCCAACTGGCAATCTCAGAATCCGGACTCAAGGGTTTTGTGCTGTGATCGGCAAGCCAGTCGTGATCTCATACCTTACGCAGCTCAGTAGGCCACAATTCCATAGAGTAACATCCCTACAAGGGCCCCCCTACATGTTGTCGGTTACAGACATGAGCTGAAATATCTTCCCCATTCATACCTGATGCTGGCTTACTTAACTGTATGCAGTGTATCTTTATGAGAGACATTAGAACGACAACAGATCAGCATGGGTAGGTTCGGGTCTCAGACAAGTTCCTATAATAGGTTGGTTATCGCTTTTGTGGCTATTGGGTCAATGGTGAGTTCGCAGGTACCTTTACGTGGCCAATCTTAACTAGGCCTACCCAAATAGACCTAATGGAAATTGCTCCTCGATTATTTCCAGTACAATCGGCCAGCCAGGATGGTATGCCTACTTCGGCCTGCCCGCTGAGGGTCAACCGGGATATGCAGCCATCACTACCCCCGTAATCTCGACAGCAAACGGTGTTTTCAGGGCAGGCGGTGCTATTGGTGCTCTTTTCATAATGTGGTCGTGTGATTTCCTTGGCCGAAAGGCAAATATCCAGTTCGGTGCCTTTTTTCACTGTTTGGGGGAGCACTCCAGGCCGGCTCTAATTCAATGGCGTATGTCCTTTTTCCTGCTTTCAAATTAGACTGGTGCTGACAGCTCTCAGCATGTTCCAGACTGGCCGCTTTATGTGCGGTCTTGGAATCGGCATCCTTGTCACCGTCTGCCCTATGTATCTCTCCGAGATGTCCAGTGCTCTGCACCGTGGCTGGTTTGTCGGCCATCATGCCATGTTTCTGGTCTTCGGATGTATGCTTTCAGGATCGGTGGGTTATGCTTGCTACTATGCAACGGGCCCTCTGGATAGGTTTGGCTGGAGATTCCCTCTCGCCTTGCAATGTCTGCCCACGATGGTGCTCCTTCTAGGATCTCCTTGGCTCCCGCGTTCACCCCGTTGGTTGATTTCGAAGGGTAAGTTCGATGAGGCGCAGCACGTCCTCGAGCGGCTCCGTGAATCACCAGATGATCCAAACAACTTGACTGCCAAGGAAGAGTTCTTCCAGACGAAAGAGCAGATTCAACTCGAGGCTGGGAGATTGGCTACCTATGGTAGCGTATGGAAAGCTGTCTTTACAAGGAAAAGCAAACCGAAAGCGAATGGCTATCGGCTTCCTTACCCAGTGGGGCGCTGAATTTGGCGGACCTTTAATCATTGTGAGTGTAGCAATGCCTAATTCAAAAACCAAATCTTTCCGACAACGACTAGAACAACTATGCCGTTCTTTTGTACAAAAACCTAGGCATGAAGGGAGGCATGCCTCTGCTTTTGAGTGCTGTATGGCTGACAACAGCTGGTGAGGTCAAACACCCAGGACTCACTATGTTCCCCGTTTGCTAACCTGGCTCAGGGCTGATCTACAATCCTCTAGGCGCCTGGCTTCATGATGAAGCCAATTCCCGACGCGGCATGTACATGATCGGCTTTATCGGCATTATCATCACTACATCGTGTCTGGCTACTCTGACCGCCCAGTATGCTGGTACAACCTACAAGGTTGGAAACGGATTTGGCATCTTCTTCATGTACCTTTATCTAGCCTTCCAGGGGTGAGCCAAGAACACAAAAAGATCGCTGAATACATTGAGCTAACATTCCAGCAGTACTTTCTGCGACACCACTATGTACCTCTATGTTTCGGAGATCTTCCCAACTGAAATCCGTCCAATTGGCATGGGCTTCTCTCTCTTCGGTCAGTTTGCCTGTAAGTGGTTCGGATCGGGGTTGTTTCCAGATTCCAATTGACATACCTAGCCACCCTCATCCTCCTGCAAACCGCCCCCATAGGCTTTGGTAATATTGGCTGGAAATACTACCTCGTCATTATTTGCTGGTCGGTATTTTTCATCCCGAGTATGTTTTCTTCTCCGTCACATCAAGAGTGGACTAGACTTCAGCTAACAAAGTTGTAGTCATATACTTCTTCTTCCCTGAGACTGCTGGTCTTACGCTAGAGGAAATTGCCAAAAACGTCGGCGAGGAGGTTGCTGTTAAACTCCCTCGCGTCACGGACGAGGAAAAAGCTCAGCTCGGCCGCCAGCTAGTCACAGATGAGAACGTTCAATCATTCGTGAGCTCTGAGCTGGATACAGAGACTAAGCCGTCGTCAACCAACGAAGCTGAGCTGAACGTGTCCAAAGCAGAATGACCATTTTGAGTGCGCTTGGCTCTTGAGCAGGGCCGGCGATGAAAAGCTTTCGGTTTATTTAGTCCCAACTTGAGGCTGTGACGTACGTTATATCGAACTGCGCTCCTTAAGCGATCGGGATTGGTTAGATTTTAGCTTTGTTGCCTAGGCAATCCACAATAACCCCAGCTTAGAAATCATCCTGAAGAGCCTCCCGAGGTAACTCTTGTCTTTAAATTTTTATACTTGCAACACTCAAGTGTGTCTTTGAACCACAATGGGCCCAAGTTTGAAAGTTCTTTTATTCCCCTGGGATCCCAATTCGGACATTCATCTGAAATGCCTCGTTTCGCAGCGAGTCGAATGCAATTGGGACCAGGGAAAAGTTGAGACAAAATGGAAAAAACAACAACTCAAAGGCGAGAAGTGTATCTACTGGATTGTGAGTTTCATCGGATGTTTGAACTGTTTTGTTGTATTAAACACAGCCATGGGTCTAAGATGCTGATATTTTGGGGGAAAGGTTTTGCCATCAGATGAGTCACAAGCGATATCGCCAAAAGTAACGACAGCAGCGCAAACCAAAGAACACAACTAACATGTGACTAGGAAAACGAAATGCTTCAAGACACAGCGACCACCATCAATGCTGTCCCACGCCAGCCAACAAAGGAAAAATTCATCCCTATTGGCCACATTTCACTGGATTCCAAGAACCCAGATGCAGAGCACATCGAGCTTGATTTGCCCGCCGTGAACATCTTCTGGATAAAGACTTTCTACATTAGACGGTCCATCCAGGGTCGTGGAATTGGGCGAGCTGCAATGGATGCGGTTGAGGCCATGGCAGTTCAAAAGCCACTACTGGCCGAGATATTGATGCTAGACACGGTTCAGAAAGATGATCAGAAGAGAGAAGAATTTGCGAATGTAACATATGGTGGTACTCCAAAGGTAAGTCTGATTGTACATCGTCATGTCCTCGGTCAAGTAACTAATTGTTTGTAGACTATAAACCAGGAATGGTATGCTCGTCGGGGCTACCAATTGATCAAGACTGTGCAGGATTATTATCAGGACCCAGATAAGAATGGGAAGGTTTGGGAAACAAGGACGGTTTTTATGAGAAAGGACATTGCAGGTGATCAGTAAGGGCAGTTCATGTCATCTCAAATGGTTCTAGAGCTTGATACAACTATCGGTTGTGCCTCTTCCAACAGGGACCATGCAGCTTGAATAAAATATATAGACAACCTTAGATAAGTATACATCCCTAAGATTTCATAGCTGTCGAATGCTGTACTATGTAATAGTGTTAAATGGAACCACGAGGACCAATGCACTTGGTTTTGACTTGCAATTTCTTCCTGTTGCTCCAACAGGTGAGTTTGCTAAGACCAATCGTCAAAAATGCAGTGAACGACTTCGGATAGTTGAAGCTGTACTCAACTGCCAAATGGCTACATTCAAAGTTGCAGAAAAGCCACCAACAAATTGGAGGCCAAGTCCTGGAATCGGACTTTGAAAGGCGGACAGAGTCAACTCCGCCCGCTTGGGATAGGGTCTCCGGAGATAATATCTAAAGCCCGAGGGTGGATGTCAAGTTGGCTCATTCCCCCTATAAATAGTCAAGTGTCCTCAGTCTGTTCAGAAGCGTTCGCCTTGTACACTTATCTGACCATAATCCGCTTTACCTGACCATCTCCCCCCAATGTCATCGGTGATCGTCTTTGGCCCCACTGGTGGGGTTGCCTCTGTCGCGGCACTCACTGCCCGAGAGCATGGAGCTAAGGTTTTCCTGGCTATGCGAGACACCCAGAAGCGAATTTCTGGATTGAGTACAAAACAAGAACAAGAAGGTGGATTTAAAAGAATTCAAGCCGATTTGACCAACCCCGACTCCGTCGCTGCAGCCGTCAAAGCATCGGGGGCAAAGCGTGCATTCACATATGTTGCTTTCGGGACCTCTGATCACATGAGAGCAGCCTTTGCGGCAATGAAGTTAGCCGGCATTGAATTTGTTGTCTTCCTCAGCAGTTACACCATCACAGGAGAGCCAAAAGATGTTGCTCCTGCTGACCTCATCCCTTACATTCATGCGCAGGTTGAGATCAGTCTCGACGAAACGTTTGGACCGGAAAACTATGTTGCTTTGAGACCCGGTGGCTTTATCACGAACTTGCTACGCTTCAAAAAGGGAATCCAAGCTGGTGAAGTGAGAATCTGGGCGCCTAGTTTCCAATTTGATTGCATCACACCCGGCGACATGGGCCGTGTGGGCGGCACGATCTTAGTACATGGCCCAAAGAATGACCAGACGAAGGTGTATTTATATGGTCCACAGGTCATCGCCCAAGGAGACGCAATTGTGGCCATTGGGAAGATCGTCGGCAAAGACGTCAAGCTTACTCTCATCAACGAGGAGGAGGCCTTGGGCCATTATATTGCGGGTGGAATTCCTAAGCCATTGGGGGAATACATGATCCGAAAGTCTGCAAGCACATCGAATGAGCTTACGGACCGCGCATGCTACCAAACTGGGGTGGAAAATGTGGAGCTGTATACGGGAAAGCCTTCAACAAAGTTCGAAGACTGGGTGGAAGCAAACAAGGGACTTTTTAGCGCCTAAATCTTAGAGGAGCTTTCTGCTTTTTTTTGCCTGGGGGAACTACATGATATACGGTGACGAGATGTGATGCGTATTGTTGTCTAGCTTTGCAAGGTTTCTGATTATCTGATATTCTGGTGGACTCACAACGAAAGTACCGCATGAAAACACAGAACTTGGTTGAATTATAGAATCAATTGCACATTTAATTCCAGGCGTTAACCAAAAAAGCGATTCAATACGACCGTGAAGCAATTTCTCATACTTCGGACTTCTAGGGTGGTACGCTAAGCCTAATTTGGGGAGGCAAACTGCTAACCATTGCGGGTATGCGGGTATCATTTTTCCCGGGGTCCCTGTCTTGAATTAATCATGTACTCTTTGCGTTGGACCTTGAGCCATGAGAAACGATGATCGGCGTTCTGCATCGCCTGCAACACGCAGAAATGGCACTTTGCAGTCGTGTGAACCATGTCGGAGATCTAAACAGCGATGTGACCATGAACGGCCGATCTGTCGCCGATGCACCGCAAAAAGAATCAGCGATAAATGTTTTTATCATCCAGCTCCGATGACTAGGCGGAGACCTTCCGATCCAGCCAAACCTACGATAGCTTCTCGTCGACTGACTAGTCAGCCAACCTCGAAGTACGCATCTCCTGCAACGGATGCTAAGCATGTACTAAAATGTAGACATAGTGCTTCTAGCCCGGGCTCAGGCTCCCTGGGGAATGGGCGTTTCTTTGCGCCATTGGAACCACCCTCGGCTCTTCCTGGATATCTTGGCTCGACAAGCTACTCTGCGATTTTAACTGAGCATCGCAATGAGATTCCGTTCGAGGCCGAAGAGAGCACAGATTCCTCTGTGGGGTTGGTGGTAGAACCCGATCGACTTCAATCCGGAGTTGATGTACTGCGGTTTTTGTACAATCTCGCAGTGTGTGATATGCTGATCGCACGATTCTATGTTCGGACATGGAGTAACATCGTACCTAAGAGGGTAATGGACGAAATTCTGCGCTCGGTGCGCGACATGTTTGACGGGTTTTCCAATGATCCAACGATGCAACTACAGGAGCTGGCGAATCAAATTTTTCAAAATACCTCCCGCCCGATGCGGACGCACAAGTCTATGTCAGTTGAGGAGTATTGTGCCTCTTTTACCGGTCGCAACCTCCGCTGGGAGGCCCTCGGGTCCATCTTCACTCTTTGCGGAATGCAATTGGTCATTACGCTAGACAACGACCCCGACATTACGCAGGGCTCAGATGACCCTCAAGCAAAAGACCGGTTACTTGAGCAGATGACTGTGATCAGTACCATATGCCTTGGTTTCTGTGACCAGACATCGTCGGCAAACGAATTACTGGCAATGCTACAATTCAATGATGTTATGTTGCGAACACAACAATATGGTGATTCCAGTAAGACTTCCCCTATTTGTGTGATCTCATTTCCTATCAATTCACTGATCATCTATTAGGCTATCAGGCATGGCGTCGATTGGGCGACCTGGTATCTACAATTTATGCAGCTGGACTACACTTAGAAACTAATGGTGCTGATAATTGCCCATTCTTTCTTCGCCAGTGGCGGATGCGCTGCTTTGTTGCTTCCTTCTATATGGACAAAATGATAGCAACATTTGTTGGGCGACCGCCACTGATGAATGGTCGATTCTGCACACTTGCTGCTCCATTGGATCTGAGCGACGAGGTCCTGGTAGCAGGTGGAGACGTCCTTAGCAAGGCTATCTCAGAGCTAAACAGCGCCGGATGGAATAGTCAAGGGAAGTTACACCCTGTAACCCCAACCCGCCTACGCTTTCAACTGGCTATCATTCGGGAAGAAACTCTTGAGGTTGTACTGGGGACTCGCGAACAACACAATCTAATCCAGAAGTCTGAGTAAGTAAATCTTCTCATCCCAGTTCTAGGTTTTCTGGGTGCTGACACGATTCTTATACAACAGAGAAATACAAGCAAAATCGCGCGCCATGTGGCAATCCACTCCGGATCAGCTTCGATATGACCGGCGATCGAACGACCATTACCATGATGGGTGGCTTACTATTGTCTATTTCTATTTGGACTATCTATATACTTGCTTTCTGCTGTATCGAGCAGTCGTCAAGCACACAAACACAGGACAAGCGGATCTCTGCGACGTGTCTCGCCGGGTGCTAGCCATCGTCATTCAGATTAATTCGTTCCGAACCCCAATGGTCGATCTAGACCGGCACTTTTCTTGGATCGTATGTTAGCCGCGTTTGCCATTCATGGGAGAGAAACTCTTACTGAGATTTGCAGGTCCTCACGTATGGTGTTCCTTCCGCCAGCGTCCTTCTTCTTGAACTCCTGCAGCAATCACATGAGCCCGGCCCACATGCCGTTCCTCTCCCACGCGCTGAACTGATTCGCAACCTCAGCGTGTTTATTTCTTTCCTATCGTGGGTCGCAGGTCCCGGTCACGGCAATTACCACACCTGCAAAGAAGCCGAGAAAAAGCTGTCTCGCATCCTTGATCAGCTACTCGACCCACAGCCTGTGCAGCAGCATGTGGTGGATGATGTCACAACAGGCCTCGACAATTTCCTCAATTGGTCGAACTACAATACGATTTGGGACTTCAACACCGATTATATGCCTCTTACCGAAGGATTTGCGCCTTAAAACCTTGATCGATCTATTATCAGGAAGATCATTGAGAGATCGTTCAGAGCCCAAAAATTTTAATCGTCTCGTCGTTATTGTATTATACCCTTCCCCCGATCGCGGGTTGGTATCTGGTCATACCATCCACAGATAATCGTTCCGCGGAGGTGTGTCGGCCACATAATAGGCCCGATGGCACAGCGGGCAGTTGAAATGGTCTCCTAAGAACCACCTTTCCAAACATTCCCGGTGGAAAACGTGCAAGCATCGCAGTTCACGAATTTCCTGCGTGCGATCTACTTGCTCCAAACAAACAGCGCTGAACAAAATGTCAGCCGCCACTCCACCAGCAAAGCAGAATACACATACCAAATGAATTCTCCATCGACGGCCTCAGATAATCCGAGGTTCCCTTTCGTGGTCGTCCACCAGTTCTCGAGCGTGCAAATTGGCGAGACCTTATCCAACTTCCGTAACCGCTCACTGGGATTTTTCCTTGATCTCCGGACTGACTGTCTGTCCCGGCGGTTGATGAGTATTGTCAGACTGGACGATACAGTTAGAATGACATGGAATAGCATGGCCAATGTAACATCTCACACCGACGGAGGAAATTTATCGGCAAGAATGAAGAGGAACAAGGAGACACAAGAGATAAGATGCAACAAGATGCCAACCATTGAGTCTCACTCACATCAAACTAAACACGATGAGTAACACCACCCCAAGTCCAATGCCTAAGACAATCGCCATATGGTTTTTCTTTAGTTTCATGTCTTCGGCCATCTGTCCGAGTCCTCGATTCTTTGTTGCACGAACGGGCAGTCAAAGTCGTGTTGACACGATGGGTATAATGGTGACCAAGGTCAAAAGTGAATTAAAAGACCGGACTCAAAGGACTCTGATCCCGTATCGCTAGTGATCACAAGCTAAATGTGGGTATCACAGCCCAGTCGCCGTATTTGGGAGTCTGATCGTAATATAACTCTAGACTAGACCTTTCTAACAGAAGAGAAAAAGAGGGGGGAAAGGCCGAAATACCAGCTAGCATCCGAGGAAGTGATTACGGAGGCAGAAGCCCGAGAATCTAAAGAATCCAAGGGAGCTATGAATTTCCAAAATGAGCACTGGGCAAGGAATATTAATTGATCTGGGGGGGGGTGGTCTCCATGTCCAAGCGTCAAAGCGGGGAAGAAACATAGATCATCATACGATGAGCGAACGTTTTCCTCTAATTTGCCTATATAGGTTTAATTGGGTACTGGGCATTTCCCCGTCTCAACCCAATTGACGGTGTGAGATGGAAGGGATTGGCCTGGGCGGAATGTTGATCGGTTGGATTTGACCTCTCTACCTTCTGTTGCACGGCGATGGTGGGATTCGAGAAACTTGAAACATAAGTAGATGTCTCCCTATTATTTTTTCCTACTGCTTGTCCAGAATCGAATTTCTCTTGAGGTTAATCTACAAATTTAGAAGTTCAGATTATGTACAGATGACCTTTTAAACTCGACCAAGATTAACCTCCCCCTGTGCCACTCTTCTACTTGATTCATTGCAAGGGTAGCATTAGCTTTGATGGACACATTCTTCGAAGATTCTAACCGGTGGTATTTACTCTTTTCTGGTAGTCTAGATTCCTATTTCCCTTTCACCCCGGGACTATTGGGATCTAGAGCCAAATGCAACTAGAATTGTGGGTAGGCCACAGCTACTCCATGCTGGCTCAGGCACACTATGAACCAATGGAATTCAAGATCGATAACCGCCAGAGAGTTACCCTGGCCTAGGCTGCAGGTGCTATATGCTGCACATCGATGGCCAAGTCAGCACAAGACTTTGACCAACGACTAGTTAATAACGTGGCCAAAAGGAGAAACGTTTCTACTGCATCTGTAGGTATTGATACACAGCCGTAGCAAGGTCAATCAACCGTAGATCTTTTTGAAACTAGCCGCCATGTTAGTGACTACACGATCAATGAACCTACCTGTACGAGTCGACGAGAAGGGGACGTTTGGATGAAGATGTTGGGGTAGGAAGAGCACCTTGCATGGTCGGACGCTGGCCGTGTAACATCTGCTTGCACAGTAGGCGTCTGTCGAAGCAAGAGAGTTACCTCGGAATTGAATTCGGCTAGTTCTACTGTCTGTTCCTATTAGCAGATCTGCATGTATCTTTGGTTCAGCTACAATTTTCTCTGTCTTGTCTAGCGGTTGTATTTCCAGGGGGTTTCATGCATCTGCATCATCGTCGCATCTTGGCTTGCTCGGCGTCTACCAAAGAGCAGATCAATACTCGTGGTTTTTTAGGATGCCCATTTGGTAGACTGGACACCAAACCGATGACATGACCAGTAAAAATGCGGCCCACTGTGATCATTTAGGGGCTCTGAGCAACTCTTCGTAGTTTTACGTCGATCAAACACACTGGAATGCTCCTAGTTGGATGGCAGATTGGCGAAGTGGTCTATAGTTGGTCAATCTTGGACCACATTAGGAATCCCATTACTGCTGTCGAAAGCGTCGGCCCTTTTTTTCTTCTTTCTTCCAAGAGGCGAGAGATTTGCAAAAAAGAAAGAAAAAAAAAAGTAGGATGCAAAACAAGTTCAGAATAGATGTGAGGCTGAATGTAGCTACCTAGGGAGGTACCTGTGTGTAGGGTAGTGAAGAAAAACACGATCATTGGAACTGAACCGCGGGTGAGGTCATCTCCGAACTTGACCCGAAGTTTCATTCTCCGAGGGCAAAGGGTTGGAATGATTACGCTCTGATGCGATATCATTCCAAACGGCAACTGTTGTCAAGTTGCACGTTGGCCCTCTTTGAAGTGCTATTGCTTCTCTGAGTTGGGGACCCCACTGCGCACTCGAGGCCGCTGCCGTTGGAACGCCATACATGTCCATTTGTTGTCCCTCTTAGAACACAAGAGAGACGGTATCTCTTGTGACTCACAGATCAACATCCCTTCGCAACCAAAATCTTTCGAGAGAGATCACATTCCACCCACGTGCGTGTCTGCCTCGTGGGGTCACGTGATGGCGCGTCCCCCCGCGTTGGGCACTCACGGGGAGATCGGATGGAAGAAGGCAAATGGCAAGGTTTCACCCTCTGTGGTCTAATCTGAGCTGGAGGATTTCGAACATGTATCGAACGCGAGGGCACGCTTCGTGCTTCCTGCAGATAACTGTCTAGGCTATTGCAACATACCCAAATGTGGGCCCAAATCACCCCAGCACGCGTCAATCTAGACAAATACAAAAATAGCATTCAGGGGACTCGAGTAGAGACATAATTTGAGACTTTGAAAAGAAGAAGATCTCAAATCAGAGAAGGGTGCAAGTCCTAAGTACCTCGGGAGAGCACTTTGTTACTAGCGCGGGCCACGTTCTTTCTACTCCGCGTCCACACCGCGACGCGATTTGATACCGTTTCTGCATGCCAGCCTCACGGCTTTATCATCTCCTGTCTCTGGTCATTTTTCAAATTTTGGATCGGGTGATTTGGTGTTCGTGTCTCTTTCTCTGTACCCTCCCAGCCCCTCCATGCTCTCTTAGGTATCATGTCTGATCCGGAGGCTTCGGTGGCGATCTCATCCTCGCCTTCTCTCCCGGCCACCGACTCCAATCCTCTCAACTACGCTTTTCTCGTTCATTCGCAAAAAACCCTCACACAGAACCTCCCTCCTCGTGTTGACAACAAACTGTTAGCCCGTCAGAAGCGACGTCGGACTAGGTATGCTATCATGGCTGCGGTCCACCCGATGGACGATACTTTGAACGCGTTAATTAACCGGATATGAAAAATTTGACAGCCCAGAGGATCACGCAGTCCTCGAATCCGAGTACCAGCAAAATTCTAAGCCAGACAAAGCAGCTCGCACGAGTATTGTAAACCGCGTCTCTCTCGGCGAGAAAGAGGTCCAAGTATGCGATGCCAAGCGATCACCCACAAAAAACTACTTCTAACTGGCTCAATAGATTTGGTTCCAAAACCGCCGCCAGAACGATCGTCGGAAATCCAAACCTCTCCAGCCTCACGAATTACTTGCCCCGCGGTCGGGCATGGTCGATTCATCGGGTCAGCCTCTCAGTGATGATAACGCGTCCACGGAGCCGGGGTCTTCAAGTGGGGCAGAACAGTTTGACAACGATCACCGCGCAGAAATGGTATCCAAACCATGGCATGGGGGGCTCTTACAATTTTCAGATGACTCAGATCCGGTAATTGAAGATAAAGATGAACTTGAGCTTCCACAGAGCACTCAAACAAGCATCGCGACAGAGGCCGCTGGGGAAACTCCGCCCACCACCCAGGAAGAGTTTTCCCAACTGGTGAATGACCCTGCAGAAAACTCCCTTCTGCAGTTACCAAAACGGAAACGGTCGGTATCGGATATCCAGGGCGAGGGGGGAAAAGAGCAGCAAGCCGCAATCATACAACACATACAAACCACGCCTACCAAGTCACCTCCGTCGCTGCGATTGTCGATGTCATTTGATGGAGAGGCTTTGCTCCGCAATGAGGGCGAACTGACGCCGTCGCCACCCAAGGGCCGCAACGCCTTGCGGATCGCGATGTCATCGGATGGAAAGGCAGTAATCCGCGGAGAGAACGAACCATCGCCGTCCAAGAACCGCGTGGCGATGTTCTCGGTTCGCCGAACACCGATGTCAAGCCTGCGACGTAGCAGCAGCGCGGTCTTCCCAGTGACCCCGCGGGCAGGTGTAGCCGAGAAAGATCGTGCTTTCGGTCGCTCTCGTGATCCACGAAACTGGGAATCATTCTGTGATACGGACGCAAGAAGTGCTTTATCAACATCGACCAGTGGGTCAAATGGTTCTCCAGGTCTCTTCCAATCTCGCAGCCAGCGCTCGTTGCCTCGGAGTGCCTCGGGGCGGTTCAGCCTCGCTGTCCACGGCGACCCAAACACGCCGATCTCTCAGTCCATGGGAGAGAAGAGACGGAAGCTCGCCCGCACCGTTTCATCTCTAGGACGATTGGAGACAGGCCGAAACAAGGCGAACATGATTCCATCTCATCTGTCTAAACCTCTTTTTTCCAAGTCTGGCAAGTCGGATCTCGAGCAAGACCTCGGCGACTCTGACAAAGAGAACTGGGTTCCAGGCACACGATCGACAATCATTCGTCGTCGCAATACTTCACACCTCCCGCGACCGGTCCTTCGCGATGCGAACCGTACTCGCGGTCTCGGCATCTCGACTGGCAAACGCAATCGACCACTCCAGACTGGCTCTCAGGGTAAAGCCCTCCCCGAACTCAGTGCCGAAGTATCTGCTTTCATGGCCAGTGGGTCAGGGGATAGCCAAGAAGATGACCTGGACTGCGTGCAGGGTCTCCTGTCGTTGAGCCAGGGGGCCTGGCGATAAGAGCGGGATGCATGGTACATTGACATTTCGAAGTGCCATTGCATGTCATCTTTGCCCCTGTTTTATTCTTAATTTCCTTTGTGATCCTGATTTTCCTTTGTTCAGACCCCTTTTTTGTTATTTTTTTTTTATTTATTATGTTTATTGTTGTCTTCATGTGTGCCTGCAAGCGGTCATTGCCACTGTTGCGTGAACTCTGCCCATGATATACTTCTTATCCGGGCTTGCTCTCTTTCTCCCTTTCTCTGCTTCTTTTATGCATATTGATCTACATGACTCTTTATCTTTCGTCTATGGTGCTCACTTGGTGGGCTCGTCTGGTCCTCCTGACTTGCTGTTGAAGGGGGGGTTGACCGAACAGATGTGAAAAAAGCCCCCAAGAAAGATACTAAACTTTGAATGAATCCAACGACCTGAAAAGCCTTACTTAAGTATGAATGAAACTGTTCGATTTGCTGGGCCCAATGTATAATCGACACATCTTGTTGGTAAAAGACGCGTAGGGGCATCTCTCTAATACACTACTTGTGTTTCCAAGCTACAGTTTTTTGAAACAAGAATCATTTCAACCCACAACGCCAATGTCTAAATATTTACCAATCCCTCATCCAGTGGTATTCAGACAACCCCTCCTCTCTAATTTAAGCCCCATTCCCAGCAGAAGGCAAAGAATCATCCTTCACTCCCATTCCCCCAACCTCCCCAATTCCAAACCCCCGACAGATCAACCTCGCAATCCTCTCCCCACTCCAAAACGCACCGGTAGTAGTCCCAAGCGCCACAAACGGCGCCGTATGCTCCCCAGCAAACCACAGTCCTCTAAGTGGACCAATCCCATCCCCAGACCTCAGAACCTCAACATCCACATCCGCCTCTTGTATCCCGACCTGGAAATTACAATATGACCCATTGCCAGCAAACACATCTTTCTGCCACTGCGTAGCAAGCAGCGCAACCGGCACACAATCCGGGTTTTCGGCGCTGTACCCGGGAAGGCGGGAGTAGAACGGGTGCAGTACTTCAATTAGGGATTCTCTGTATTCGGCTGATGAGGGGTCTAGCTCTGAAATACGGTTTATTATCTCTGCACCGCCGTCACCGTAGGTGTAGAAGAGGAGGGTTGGGTGGGCATGTGGTTCAGGGAGTGAGGCTAGCGAGACGAATTCTTGGTTCCATTCGATGAGTGCGGGGTGGGGTGTATATGATGGGTCGAGGAATTGGGCGAAGACGGTGTTGGTTGTTGAGGTACTGGTGTTGTCGGTGTGCCAGAAGGCATGTGGGAATGTCACGTAGACTTTTTCCAATCGGCCGTAAGAGATGTTATTGATTGCTTGTTCGAGACGGGGTGGTAGTGCCGGTGTGAAGGCTGAGATGTTTTGTTTCAGCCAGCCCAGGGGGCAGGTCACGACTACTTGGTCGAAGTCGTATATGGTTCCTGTGGCGGTTGTGACGGTTACTTGGTGCTTTGTTGGGGATGGGTTGTGGCGAGGTGGTGCTTTGATGCTTATGATCGGTTCGTTGAGGTGGATGTCGGCTTTGGCGACGGCGGCTTTTGCGACGTGCTCTAGGATGCGCTTGTATGTAGATGCCACGATGAAGTTGCCTTGTGGATGATGTTAGAAAGTCTGCCGTGGGAATGAATTGATGAAGGTACACACTCCCATCAACACATTCTTCCAAGCGGAAGAATTTCAAGCTCTGCTTGTCAACTTGATCACCGACATAGGTACCCCAGAGCCTACAGGCATCGAGACAGAGCTGTGTCTCCTCATCTGAGAAGTTGGTTTGCTGGACTCGTTCGCGGAAGAAATCGAATAGACTTGTCTCGGCGGGGATGCTTTCTCCGTGGAGATTGCTGTGCTGGAAGGCTTCTGCGATGGTGGTCCAGACAAATTCCTGGACTTTAGCACCCACGTCGTCGTTGAGTGGGTGGCCGTCTCGCGAGTAGGAGACATGCCGTCCACCCTCGGGATCATACATCACAGTCCCCGTTTCGTCCGCTATGGTCATGATAGGGTTCTCCCCCGCGCCATGAATCCAATTGGGGCCTCTCAATTGAGCATTAGCTGGGATACATTTTCCAGGTCATAGTCATACGGGCGTACATACAGATCCACCGTATGGTCTCCAACCGTTGATTGGTGCACCTAATCGACGAAAAGGATTAAAAAATGGCATGGCTCTTGCGGTTCGGCTCCCGGGTAGAAGGAAGACCTACCCTCCCACCAATGCGATCTCTTGCTTCTAGGATTGTTACCCGGGCCCCGTTTTGGATGAGGATGTCGGCGCAACGGAGGCCCGAAATGCCTGCGCCGATGATGCCGATGTGCCGACTTGAAGCCATGTCGTGATTCCGAAAATTTGAGATCTGCAGTTGATATGGCAAAAACAGTAGATGAGATGAATATGGAAGGTTTGACGACGAAGATTTTGGATGTCAGTGTTCGGATGATTGGTTACCGTTATCCACACCTGGGACCTCGGGATTCCCTTATCGATGCCGGCTACCTACGTCGCGGGTGAAGGTGGACTCGGATTAAAATTGAAGGGATTATTTTAAGAGCTCACTCAATTGCATTGGTGAAACGATTCTGAAAGACATCGCATCTCAGATGCCGGATCAAACAAGCGGAAAAATCAGGGGAGGGGGGAAAAGAACCAGAGCTCAGTCATGACCAGCATATTAGATACAAAAAAAAAAGACGCCATGCGCCTGGTCACCTGCTAGCCCGCTAGAAGCGGAGACAGGTTGAACCCCACTGTCTCTGCCGTAGAACTCCACGAAAGTGTTTTTGGACCGAAAAACTGGACTGCGAAGGATGGGAACGAGTCGGCTGTAATGGAAGGGTATCAAGGAAAGTCAGAGAACGGAGCAAAGCGCCACTGAGAGTAAAGAAAAGCTAATAAGAAGTGGTGGAGATCAACTCCACCGCGAGACAAATGTGGGAGCATAAGGCGTGCTTGGTTGTAGCAGACGAGGCGCGGAGATCAGGTGGACTCGCATTAGACCGGGAAACACTCTTCAGTCTTCCCAGATAGTCTCCAAGTCGAGATCCTGCCGTCGCTCGGCACCACAGACACTCCATCGCTTCCGCTTATCGCTCCGAGCTGCATATCCGCCCGATCCCCCGCGCATTAGAGTGACTGAGTTGGCCACATCGGATGCGCCGCGCCGTCGGTTGGCAGTAGTTGCCGCGTCGGCTGCGTCAGCCGCGGCTTTCAACTGCGCGATCCGATCCTCTTCCAGGGCCTCATTCTCCGCGTCAGGGATATCGGGGATTGTTTCCAGGGATGAAATGCTAGGGCTTCGGGAGCGAAGGCTGGTCGGGGTTGAGGGGACAGAGATAGACGAAACGGAGCCCGAGTGGTTGGGGTAAGATTCGTTGTATTTGGAGCCCAGAACAGGCGAAGAATGCAAGGAGGGGCTGATGGGGGGCTGGAACAGAAGGGGTGAAGTCGGACGCAGGCGACCGATGCGGGGGAAAGTCTGTGGCATCAGGATCGGAGATGAGGCTGACTGTGAGGGCGACTTGGGAAGGGTTTCCAATTCTGCGTTTTCGGAGATGGTTTCTGAGATGTTGAGGGAGCCCATGCGGTCGACGTGATCATCAATGCGCGTTTGCAAGGGATATCGGTGGGTGTCGACTGGCGCCCCGCGGCCATTAACGAAGATATAACGACCCTGGGAGTCCAGCCCTGGGGAGGAATAAGCGCGCGTCATAGACAGCGTACCCGGGATTCCAGCCAGTGATCGAGAGCGGAGATGCGATCGGGCCAAAGGGGATCGTGTCCGGGATGGTGCCTGTGAAAAACCGATCATGACGTCCTCCTTACCCTCGGGAACAACCCCGGAGTTGGTCCCGGGTAGATGGCGCATCTCTTCATGTCGTGACTCCATGATGTGTGTCCAGAAATTAGAGAGGAGGAAGGAGGGGGGAAAAGGGGTAAGCAAGATTTACCCTCGCATCATGGCATAGAGCAAATGAGGAGATTCTTGGACCTGCCAAGTGGAAGGGAAACTGATGTTCCTGGGAGATGGTGATGAAATCAAGGATGTGGAAAAAAGGGAAAAAAGGGTGGATAGGAGAAGCCAAGGCCCAGAATGTAAACGTTCAACGTGAGGATCGTCGATCTCTCAGAGCCTCTTGGCCTTGCTGTTTTTCTTTTTTCCACAACTTCTTCGTAACATTTATTTTTGTCTCAAAATGTAACATTTGATATTAATCTCCCACCCTGTCCTATCAGAAAGTCACTATTCTTAGCTTTTGTGATCTATCAGTATCCATGGACATCCATGGACATCCATGGATGTTGGCCAGAGAGGTATGACCCGAGGTCACTAAGCCTATATACATAGAGCTTATGTCTTTGTATCAAAGATGCGATTGTTTGCTGGTGACTTCCAGGAATCACCTACCCGCGGTGGGTTGAGTCTTTGGAAGGTCTCTAAGATGTCTTTTCCTGATCTCCCTAGTCTGTTTGCAATAGTTTCTAACAGTATCTGGGTATTGAAATCATTAAAGTAACCCTCAAAAGGCCATGACAGCCTTATCTTTCCAATTTAAATAATAGACCGACGAGAATGCAAAACCACCAGGTATGGACTAGAGTGCGTAGTATTAAGATGGCCAGATTCGGCCAAATCGTCAAGGCCAAGACATCCCTGCACCCACGTGGTGTGGTCCAGGTAAGGGTTTTATGTTGAAAGTAAACACGATGGATCTGATAAATCAACTGGCATCATAGGATCAATGCAATTGATTTCTTAATAGGATCTGGAACGAAAGAATTATGCCCGAGCCTATGTCTTAACAAACTGCCGTCCGTGGATGATCTCTGTCTACCACCTTCCACTCCGAGGATCCAAGGGAAAGAACAGCTTTATAAACTCCTAAACATCTTTAACGCTCGTTTCTCAACCATCCTACGAAATTCAATAGCAACGACGATAGTATTTACATGGACAGTACAACTTTCGAGGAGGACTCCCTCGACCCCAACGAAAGTCCAATCTTGTTTATTCATAGATCCGAAAAACCGCACCCTCCCCGGATGCTTTTACAATCCATAGAATTAGATCACACTCTTGTCGATTATTCCGGCTCTACAATTGCATCCCCCCAATGAATCGAAGGAACTAGATGGTACTTGGGGCCCGAAGAGGGCGCTCCAGGAGGCCCACGAGAGCCTTAGAAATTGCTATCTTAGGATCCTCTGCGAGACTAAGACGCGATGTCGAGATGTGGGTCAATGTAGCTGAAGGCAATGTGCGAGTTGCTTTTGCCATGAAAACTAATCCAAAAGACCCTCGTCAAACTCGAAAGGTATGACGGGAACGCAACAAGTCAGGAACTTCAACGGACACAGGAGATCGTGATGAAGAAAAGTAATAGGCAAGTCACAATTCCTGGGTCGCCCCTTATCTTCCCATTTGATTTTCGATTTAAAAGAGCATCAATTCCGGCCGGCGGAGAAATCCGACTCAACCAAGCAGCTCTGTGTTATTGATTTCATCAGGTAGCTAGTCATCTGACTACGAGCCATGAGAGATACCCTACCTGGTAGCTAGCCGCTCGCTAGAGAGGTCATTTTCTATTTTCCTGCCCATAAACTCCATACTATGCAACGGGTGCGCTCGGAATTCTGAGCGAGGTTCCGATGAGTCTTGGCTCCTGCGTGGTCGGCAACCTTTTTTCCCCCCCTTGGGCTAGATTATAGTAAGGTGCAATTAAGATGAAAATGGAAGAAATAGGAGGGTAGAGGGAATGCAAAATCAGACTGGCTCAGGGTAGCAGCGTTGTGTAAATTAATCTCACGGAGGATGTCTCGAGTAAGCTAGCCGGTAGGGGAGACGACGGGGAAGGGGAGCTCGAGATCTGAATTCAATTCGATCAGCTTCGAAATTTCTGTTTACCTTTGCTCGGTGTAGATAGATCAGATGTCAAGAACTAAGCAGTTGGCAATTCTGGTGTCGAGAGCAGGGTTCTTGATAGCTCTAGATGGCGCCAACCAGAGATGTAGAATTGGGGAAAATTCCTGCAACTAATCTAATGGACAATTTGGAAAGCGGCCAAGTCTATGATAAGTAAACAAAAGAACGAAAAAGAATGACAGGGATACCTCAATTCATCTGTTCCTCCTCCTTGCACATGGGGATGTTCTTGCGGACGTAGGTCTCCCGCACCCAGTCACCTTCATGCTTGGACACCACCCACTCACCCATACCATACTTCTCCGGTGCCACACGTATACCACGACCACCACCACCAACAATCAGATTCCCAGGACGGTATTTGGGATCTGCCTTCATACGCCGGATAGCAGAGACGTGGATCTCCGCATTCAGCGGAACATCCCGCACCTCACCACGAGGCAACGGCCAGCTAATCGGCTTCCACGACCCATCAGGCTGCAGATCCATACGACGGAACGGCAACCATTCCATTATGCGCCACGTAATAACCGACATAGTAGGAATGCCCTGGTTGAACATCAGACAGTCATGCAATAAGCCCTTCGTACTGGAGGCGTGCAGCGCATGCCAGAAGTCGCGACTTGCAGCAGTGCGCTCATTCGCCCCCGGTATAGAGCGGAACGCATCATCGTTTTCAGCCCGAGGCTCACCGCACCGATTCGGCCGCCGGGTATTAATTTCTTCCCGGATGGAACTATAATCACCGTCATACTCCTCCAGACACTGGAACTGTTTCATCTTTCGCTCGTCCAGCTCAAGTCCGGCCTTCTGTGCCTCCTGTGTCATCCATACGAGTGGCGCGTGGCTGAGCGCCCATGTCTCGCCGTCCGAGAGCGTCCACCCGCCGCCGATATCTGCGTGGCAGCCTGGGAACCAGACCTCGTGAATGTCTTGGTCGTCGTCGTCGTCGCTTGAATCGACCTCGACGATGGGAATTTGCACGGATAGGGTGTTGGAATGCAGGCTTTGGAAGGAGTCTCTGCTTCGCACAGCGTGAAGATCGTCCATTGATGCTTTGGGCACAGCGAGCCTGCGTCGGGGAGAGGGTGTGCGGTATTTGTTGGGCTGCTTTGTTCCGCGTTCGCTACCCGTGCGGGAGGGTGGATGCGAGGATTTGTGTGAAGCTTGGTGATGCGAGCCACGCCGCCCGGTGTGGTAGTATGTCTCTCCAGTGCTGGGCCCATATTTGAAGGCATCAGACTCAGGCTCGACCTTCTCCCCATTCTCCTCTTCCGCCTCCGGGTTGTCATTGACTCGAATGGCAGGAACGTTGTCTGAGTGTTCCTCCTGGGGCTTCTCCTTTTGGTCCTGGTGGAAGAGGTTTAGATGGGTTGTGGGCAAAAGGGGGTGGCGGCGGTGTTTCTTCTTCTCCTTAGGGCGCGCCCCAGAGATCAGATCTTGGCGGAACTTTGCGCGGCGCTCGTCAATACCCACGGCATGGCGAATCACCTTGGCCGAGCTGCGTGCCGTGTAGGGGAACTTGGTGCGCTGCATCCATGCGGTCTCGAAGCGCGGTACACTGTTGACGGTGTCGAAGAGACCCATGAAACGGATACGCGAGATCGGACGGCTGAACGTCTCACGGAAAGCCTTCATGTATGCGAAGAGCTTCTGCTTCTCTTCGCGTTCTTCTTCCGAATCGTCAGATCGCTGCTGCCACTTGGCGAATGTCTTCCAAGCAAAGCGGACCAGCTCCTCATTTCCTGCTTCGAGGAGACCGATATAGTCCAGCATCTCTGCCAGGAATCGTGCGATGTATGAACCACGACTAAACCCGATGAAGAAGATTTCATCGCCAGGGGAATAGTATCTCATCAGGAACTTATAGCCACCCATGACATGCTCATCAAAGGAAGACCCGACCGCCGAGTCCTTGGCCTTTTGATAGGCGGACTTGATCCGCTGGATTCGGCCGTGGCTAGTCAGCGACTTTGAGGTCACATATGTGCCAATGCCCGGCTGATAGTAGTGGTACTGGTGACTTTTGCTGCGGTCAAGCATCTGCAACTTCTTAGCACGAGCTCAAACGCTTGGCTAACACTCCTACTTACGCGAAAGATCTTGAGCACATTGCTATCGGACTCGTCACCGGCGAATTTGTTTCCGGTACCATCGAAGCAAAGCACGAACTGCTTTGGCACACCCGCCAGGCCTTGGTGTTCATAAGCCATGATACCACCGAACGACAATGCAATCGGCCAGACAAGAAAGTTCGAAACTTCAGGTACGCCCGATAATACCTGAAGGGGGGAGGAAAGGCTCAAGCTTGGGGTGCCATTTTTATGCAGATGGGTATAGCTGGTACTACACAAATCAGCGCCTTGAATCGGCCCCAGCAGAGAAGGGGGGTTGACAGGATACAAAATTTCCAATCCACTAGTAGATCACTGCAGATTTGTGAAAGCAACATGTCAAATCGGAGCGGGCTGATGGGCCCTTAGACTTGGCACCCTGCCATCCCAACATGGGCCTTTTGGTTTTGCTTTTTGGATCTTTTTCTGTGAACAAATGGTGATATACATGCAGGAGCGCGTTACCTGTAAACCTGTTACGCTACTTGGTTCTAACGGAGGTGTATTCTACCCAATGGGTACGCCTCGGCAATCATTGCTAGAAATGAGAGTTTGTTGCAAACCAGGCTGGACATAGGGTCGAGAAATTCTACACGAGGGATGCATGGACCAGACCTGGATATTCAGAACTGTGAATTCTGCGAGAGCTCAGCAGAGACTAAAAGAGAGACGTCCATACTCTCCTCTTCGCTACTCTGTCCTCCATGCGCGAGTTATCACTGGCCCTATTGAGTTTTTGGAAGTTTGGAAGAAAAACGGTACCAGGTGGTGATCGGGATCATATTCTCAATCGTTCCCTACTTAGCCTAGGAGAGCTTTTCGTGATTCAGGACGTGCAAGGGGTGAGCGGGGGCCGTTCCTTTTGAGAAAGTGCCGCCCCATCGGTTTTGAGTGATCAGGTCTAACTTTGGCGCTAGGTTGCTATAGCACTTGGATCAATCGATCGTTAGTGATGTTACGCACAAGCCGTTCTTGACTCTTCACGGCCCAGGGCCGTGACTCACTGGTAACCCTGTCTATGGTGTCATTTGCGTCCAAGTCAGATTTGAGAAAGATTATTGCGGTGTCACTGTGATCACAATGAGAACATCTTTATACAACATGAAAACTCTTCTCTCTGAGATGACTGACTCTCTGGAAATCCACGAGGTATCCCTTGTGGGACTATTGCAAGCTGAACAGGATTGTCCATCCCCGAAGGGGACGAAGAGTGGGACTTCCAGCTTGCTCTTCGGATTCCCAAAAAGAGGAAGCCAAAGCATCGGAATTACAGCTGAACAATCTTTGTGACTTGGCAGCTGATCTGAGATCCATCTGATCTTATGCATAGATCGCCCAGTCCGTGGATTCGGAGTATATAAATTCTCTTCCAGACCGAATACACAGGGTAGATCCGGAAGCGGCCGTGTCACAACCAAAACTAAGAAATGGAAATATCTCTGATCTATATTCTTTCAAGACGATTTCTTCTTTCCGCAGGGAAACTCCCGTTCTACCGAAAGAAGAAAACAAAAAAACAAAAAAACAAAAAAACACAACCACAACCACGCTAGGCTGGTGGAGTCGGCGGAATCAAAATAAGACCCTGAAAGTGGATAGCCCGAGAGGGATCAGATTCTGAATCATGGGGACCGATTGGCAGATGCTACCAAGGGCAGACGAAACGTGGGGGGTTTGTTTTTATTCAAACCCACTTGAATCCCAAGGATGAAAAGGTGGGTCTGCGATGATCAAAGATTTGCGACAGGTCTGTTTCTTCATCGCACTATAGGGACCCTCCTTGCATCTCAAGTCCCACGATACGGATGAGCACAGATCCTACACAGCATCAGCCGAGGTAATTATGGCAAAAGTCGGAATCTCCAGCCAGCCACTACAGTGAAATTTCGTTTTCGTAAATGCAGAGCATGAGTCCGAACATTCGCCCTTGGTGTCGATGGACAGAGTTCAATCTTGACATCCTTTTGCAGGTACAGAGGAGGGGATTACCTCGTACACATACGGAATAGTATACACCGCTGATCATAGTCCGGGATCACAGCGTGTTCACAGCCATTGGTCTGTTATCCGGCGACTTTTCCAAAGAGGTATAGATCTAGTTTTGGGTTGCTTTTGAGCTCACCTCCGAGTGAAGCCCTACCACACTACCTTGGCCATGTTCGACTATATTGAATCGCGTACTCCGTAAAATCCAAGAGGTTCAGGTATTCAGGTACACTACCGGTAGATCATATATCCCTCCTATCTCGAATATCGAAAATCCTAAATGATGATCAATCACTAAATTGAAACACTCGACAGCTAGAGTATCCACTCGGGAACGGAGCTTGTATCATGCGGGACTAGGATAAGTGTTATTGAGACCAGGTTCAGGCCCGAGAAAAGAGACTTACTGCTCTCTCTCGAATCAAATGTTCCCAAAGTCAATCGACTATTGCCGATAACAAATTTGCCTCTGGGACGCTCCACAGTCCTACAGTGAACTTCTGTCGCCCGCGCAGATCGTTTTAAAGAGCATCGTCGAGCTTTTCCTTGATTGTCTTTTGATCTAGTAGTCACTTCGTGGTTTTTTTTTCATCTTTCATTTGCTTTCTCCTCTGGACGTGTTTGTGTCAACATTCTGCACAATGCTGAGGAGAATCTCGACCCAGTTTAAACGGTCCAAGGACTTGAAGGATTCTAAGGATTTCAAGGACTCTAATGGGGAGAACACAGAGAATAGCACAGAGAAGAACAGCAAACGTGCCTCGAAGGTCTCACCAACTCGAAAGTCCTTCTCGGCTAAGGAGGAACATCACGTCGTGAAGCGTGCCGAGGTCGTTGCTGTATTTGAGAAGTTTGCGCAGGCGATTCACGCTTCAAAGGAGCCATTGCCCAATCAGACCAGTGATGGCGCCTACTTGAAGCATGACAAGTCGTCCGGTCTCATTAATGACATCAAGTCTCTGGGATTCCGCGAGTTAAATACCGTTAAAGACCTGATCGCGAGCAAAGCCTCCGGTGAGCTGGTTGATGACAAGACTTACTTGATGGAGCGCATTATCCAAATGGTCGCGGATTTGCCTGGTAACTCCAAGAACCGCACCGAACTCACCAGTTTATTCCTGGATGAGCTATGGAACTCAATTCCTCATCCTCCTCTCTCGTGAGAGCTCCCCCCCCCCCCCCCCCAACCGTGGAGATCGCTGCGTTGCAATTGCGCGCTAACATTGTGAGTCTAGTTACATGGGAGACGAATACAAGTACCGCTCCGCCGATGGCTCAAACAACAACCCTACTCTCCCGTGGCTGGGAGCTGCGAATACCGCCTACTGCCGCACTATCCCTCCCCTGACCATCCAGCCCAGTGGATTGCCTGACGCCGGTTTGATTTTTGATACCCTCTTTGCTCGTCAGGAGTTTACCCCGCATCCCAACAAGGTCTCCAGTGTTTTCTTCGACTGGGCCTCCTTGATTATTCACGGTGAGTAAGTTTCGCGGGAGTTTGTAATGCAGGTATTAATCGGCTGGTTGCGTACATAGACATCTTCCAAACCGACTACCGTCAACAGCACTTGAACAAGACTTCCGCTTATCTTGACTTGTCCATTTTGTATGGCGATGTCCAGGAGCAACAGGATCTGATCCGCTCCCACCAAGACGGAAAGCTGAAGCCCGACTGCTTCTCCGAGGGTCGTCTGCAGGCTCTGCCTGCTGCCTGCGGTGTTCTGCTGGTCATGCTGAACCGTTTCCACAACCATGTTGTTACTCAGCTAGCTGAAATCAATGAAAATGGTCGCTTCAGCAAGCCCCGCCCTGGTCTGTCTGAGGAGGACGCCAAGAAAGTCTGGACTAAGCGTGATGAGGACCTGTTCCAGACTGGTCGTCTGATCACCTGCGGTCTGTACATCAACATCACTCTATATGATTACCTGCGCACCATTGTCAACTTGAACCGCACCAATTCCACCTGGTGCTTGGATCCACGTGCCCAAGTTGAAAAGGCCGGAGCCACTCCATCCGGTCTCGGCAACCAGTGCTCGGTTGAGTTCAATTTGGCCTACCGGTGGCACTCCACCATCAGCCAAGGCGACGAGAAGTGGATTGAGCAGATCTACCATGACCTCATGGGCAAGCCTGCCGAGGAGGTCACTATGCCTGAGCTACTGATGGGGTTGAAGAAGGTTGAGGGTTTGCTCGACACTGACCCCGCCAAGCGTACCTTCGCCCGCTTGCAGCGTAACGAAGATGGATTCTTCAATGATGGAGAGCTGGTAAACATTCTGACTCACGCCACCGAGGACGTGGCCAGCTCTTTCGGCCCCCGAAACGTTCCCAAGGCTATGCGCTCTATCGAGATCCTCGGGATCGAGGCTTCGCGTAGATGGAATGTTGGTTCTCTCAACGAGTTCCGTAAGCACTTCGGTTTGAAGCCTTACGAGACTTTCGAGGAAGTCAATTCCAACCCCGAGATCTCTAATACCCTGCGTCACCTCTATGACCACCCTGATTTTATTGAGCTATACCCCGGTATTGTCACCGAGGAGGCCAAGGAGCCCATGATTCCAGGTGTCGGTATCGCCCCGACCTATACCATCTCCCGTGCTGTGTTGTCGGATGCCGTTGCCCTTGTCCGTGGTGACCGTCATTACACGATTGACTACAACCCCCGGAACCTAACCAACTGGGGCTACAACGAGTGCCGCTACGATCTCAATATCAACCAGGGCTGCATATTCTATAAGCTGGCCACGCGCGCCTTCCCCAACCACTACAGGCCTGACTCCATCTACGCTCATTACCCTATGACTATCCCCAGCGAGAACCGTAACATCATGAAGGATCTAGGCCGTGAGCAGGATTACTCCTGGGACAAGCCTGCCTTCATAGAGCCTCGTGTCAACTTGGCCTCTCACCAAAATGCCAAGCTACTGCTTGAGAACCAGAGGGACTTCCGTCCCAGTTGGGCCCGCTCCGTGTCTGAGCTCTTCGGCAAGGGCGAGTTTGATACCAAGCAGCGTGAGGCTATCGGCAAGGCTCTCAATACTGAAGATTTCCCCAAGCTCGTCAAGACCTTCTACGAAGACATCACCGAGCGTTTGATTGTCGAGAAGGGTGGCCAGCTGGGCAAGATCAACCAGATTGATATCACTCGTGATGTCGGCAACCTGGCTCACGTCCACTTCGCCTCTACCATCTTTGGCATTCCCCTGAAGACCGAGCAGAGCCCGCAGGGTCTCTTCACCGAGCACGAGATGTACATGATCCTTTCCACCATTTTCTCCGCTCTATTCTTCGATGTCGACGCTCCTCGTTCTTACGCCCTGAACCATGCCGCCTCCGCCGTCTCCACCCAGCTCGGTCAGGTCGTCGAAGCCACCGTCAAGGCCGACACCAACAGTGGCCTCTTCTCCGGCATCATGGACAGCTTCCGGCCGCATGACAACGCCCTCCGCGAGTTCGGAACTGAAGCTGTCCGCCGCATGAAGGAGGCCGGATCCAGCGCCTCCGACATTACCTGGTCTGCCATCATCCCAACGATCGTCGGTCTGGTCCCCAGTCAGGGCCAGGTTTTCACCCAAATCATCGAGTTCTACACCGCGCCCGAAAACCAGGCCCACCTGGCTGCAATCCATAGCCTCACCAAGACCGACTCTGCCGAATCGGACGAGAAGTTGCACCGCTACTGTCTGGAGGCTATTCGCCTGAACGGCACCTTTGGCGCCTTCCGCGAGGCCAAGGAAGCTGTCACCATCGAGGAAGACGGCAAGGTCTACGCTGTCCAACCCGGTCAGCAGGTCTTCGCCTCCTTCAACCAGGCAAACCACGATCCTAGCGTTTTCCCCGAGCCCTACCAGGTCAACCTCCATCGCCCTCTCAACTCATACATCAATCACGGCCAGGGTCCTACAACCGGATTTGGCGAGCAGATTACCAAGATCGCGCTTGTTGCCATGCTGCGTGTCGTCGGTCGTCTGCAGGGTCTCCGTCGTGCTGCTGGTGCCCAGGGCCAGCTTCAGAAGATACCCCAGGAGGGAGGCTACTATGTTTACCTCCGCGGTGACGGAGCTGCCTACTGTCCCTTCCCCATGTCGCTCAAGCTGCACTGGGATGGTCCAGTCGGGCAGAAGAAGACTCCATCTTCTTAAGGGGTGCCAAGTTAGCTAGAAGCTGCTTATATAAAACTGCGGACTTGCTATGTTGTGTGAAGGTCACTAAATTTGGGTCGGCTATGATTCTATGCCTTGTTTTTTTTTGGAATGTTTTGGTTTTGACGAACTGGTTGCCAGGATATCATTAAAGCTTGGTTTATAGCAGTATAATGTATACTTCGTCAATAGTTGTCTGGTTTCACTTTCACTGCTGGAAGTCAGTAGAGTAAAGAAGATCTCAAATAGAAAAACAAAAAGAAGCAATTAATTGCGAAAAGATCATAGCTACCAGCTTCCACCGCCTTGGGAATATACTGCCACATCTACTATCCTGGGGTTGAGCTCCATCTGTTATAACCCCAACTCCACAATTGCAGTATCTCACGTCAGGAACTCCCCTAATTCTCCTCGAAATGCCTCCTCCAAAAGCCGCAAAGGGCGAATATATTGAGACGGTAGAACCCCCCTCCATACTACCTCCTTCGTTCACACCGAATCTCTGGACCCAAAAGAAGCCCAACCTAACATCAAACAACAGGACACAGGAAACAAAATCTCCCGCCGATCCCAAATTCACGGCACACAACACATCATCCTGGGTGGTAAAACGGTAATCCAAGCCGATGCTGTAATCCGCGGTGACCTCTTCCGCACAACAACCCTCCCCGCATCCACCGACGCAAACAACCCTGCTGCACCAGGAGCCCCGAACTCCAGCACACCCAGTGTGGCGATAACAGTCGGACGATACAGTTACATATCCAAAAGTGCGATTCTGCGTCCTCCAAGCCGACTACACCGCGGCATTCACTCGTTCTACCCGCTCAAGATTGGCGATCATGTGTTTGTCGGCGAGGGCGCTGTTGTTGAAGCTGCGTCGCTGGGGAATCATGTTCATATTGGGAAGGGTGCGGCTATAGGCAGTATGGCTATTATTAAGGAATATGCTTATGTGCTTGATGGCGCGGTTGTCCCGCCTGGCATGGTGGTGCCAAGTTGGTGTATTGTTGGCGGGAGGCCGGCGAGGATTGTCGGGGAGGTCGGAGAAGGTTACGGCGTTGAGGGAGCCGAGGGGGGTATGGCTAGGGAGAGGTATCGGGTTGTTGGGCGACCTTGAAAGGTTGGTGGGTTTGTTCTTTTGATTTGTTTCTGGTTTTTGGTGATACCCCCCACTGCTACTTTGAATGTTATTGAATTTTTTGAGACGTCGATTTGCATACCACTTAAGTATATCCTATAGCAGATGATTCGGATATTCTGTCTGGACATACATACTGCTAATGATTGACAGTCAACAAAAAGTACAACTAACCCATATTTTTCACCTCGACTGCGCGTTTAAGTCGCAGTTCCTTGTCCTTATTGGGGATTCCAAGCTCTTCAAACGCCATATCATCGATCCAACGTCCATTAGGCTGAACAGACTCGCCACGCGACAACTTGGTAGAGAGATACATCCAGGCAAGAGCATTGCCCACGGTACTCACTTCGTCACTAACATTATGGATGCCGTACTCGGACATGCGGAGGTACAGATCGTGATCCGTCCAGAGCTCAAACAAGCGCTGCGCCACTGCATCGGTATCACCCACATCAACCAGGAACCCATTTTTCCCGTGCGCCACCTGCAGCGGGATACCACCGGTGCGCGTGGCGATGACTGGTTTGCCTTTGTGGATTGCCTCGGATACTTTGACCTCGAAACCTTCGGATGTAGACAGTTGCAGTGCGACGGTGGCCTTGGAGAGAATCGCATTCAGGACTTGATCGCAGGGCCGCAATCGCACTGCGCAGATCAAGTGGCGGATATCTGGGACTTTAGTGTCCAAGTAGTCGATGATCTCGTCGTAGATGTGCCCTCCATCCGGATCATCCACTGATCCGTGTCCACAAATTAGCAGTTTGGGAGGGACCACATTTGGCGCTTCGGCTACTAGCTTGTTGTAGAATTTCTCGTAGGAAACTAACACATCCACGATACCCTTTGACGGGTCGAACCGTGCGATCTGGACGATATATGAATCTGCCTAGTGTCAGTTTTCACTGAGGAGTCTCTTAATCGCTGCTGGCTCAGCTACTAACCCTCAGGCCATTGGATAGTTGGCATATCTGCGTTGCGACAGGCTGCATTAAATATTCGCCCATAGTGCGCGATGTCCCAGTCTCGCATGGTCTTGTTCAGTCCATCCAACCTATCTCCCAGTCAGCAAGATTGAAAAAATAACTGCCTCTTCAGATGTCTCGGCCCGTACCAGTCAGTTGCTGCAGGCATATAGCCTACCATCTCTTGGGGCACGTTCCGTGGCACGAAGGCGCTCACAGGGTGACTGATAAAACAGTCCGCGTGTTTTATGTTGTCCCATAGATATTCCCAGGCCTCTGCCTGTGGGGAGCCAGGTTCTGCAACCAGATCACTTCGGATTTGGATGTGGCTTCGGAAAATGATTGGTCGATTTGGAGCTAGTTTCCTTGCAATGGGGATGAGGCCTGGCATCTGAGGATCGTCAACGACTATGACATCTGCACCGCCCTCTGACGGTGAAAGTAAAGGTCCCCCTGCTCGGGTCCAGTATCGCCTGGCGTTCTCCTCAATCCACTCCTGCAGGAGCTTCATGTTTTCTGATGTTAACCGCTCATCACCCTGGGCAACACCTTGTAGAATATTGTGATTCGTTTTGGTTACCCGGAAGACCCCCGGCCGCGGTTTCGGGACGTACCTGCAAGCATTTAGTTAGTCGACATTCTTGCAATGATGCAGATGCCTAGTTGCAGGCACGGACACACCATTTGATGTCAGTGCCTAGACAATGTGAAAATCGCAAAAGAGCGTGCCGCATCAGAGCCACACCACCACCCTGAGGCGTGGAACTAAAAAATGCCACTTTGACATTGCGTTCTTTCAATTCAGTGGCGTAGCGTTGCACCGCAGTCCAAGTTCTATCCGAGACTGTTTTCTGGAAATCACTCAAGTCCGCAATTCGCACATGGTAAGCTGTGTCCACCTCCACGAGCCCGAGGAAGCCCACTTGTAATAGAGGCGTATTTTCTGGTCCAAATAGTCTGTAGACACTCAGAATCAACGGCTCCTCTGTGATATTGAACAGGACCAACCAACCTAACCCCTTTTCGTGCCATGGATTCAGCCTGTTCATCGATGGTTTTTTCATCCCATCCATTAGATTTCGGCTTTTGACTCTCGCTAGCCTGTTCGATGCTGACTCTGTCTATTAGAGTTGCGTTTGACAAGACCAACGGAATAATATCGAGCTCTGCCCAAAGGCGAGGACATAGTCGAGGGCAGTGATTTGCAACTTGTTCAGGCATAGATATCCCAACGGTTTTCTCCAAATGGTGCATGGAATACGCCTTCAGCTCGGAAATGATGAACTCGGTGGCTTCCTCTGCAGATGCTTGGCCATTTGAGAACTGCTTCTCGATGAAGTCTAGTAAATATGTAGTGTCGCGCATTGCGATTGCAATAGTTGATGTATAGTGATCTTCAAAATCGCTGGAGACACCGGCGTAGATAGTCTAGTATTCCTGTTAGAATTTTTTCAAGATTGAGTCTTACTGCTACTTCAAAAGGTGTTCTTACATCTGACGGCGGCCCTAACCAAGCGTTGCGCTCGTACTGTAGCGCCAGTCGACGCTGCTGCGTGACTGAGGCATGGCGCTCAAACTTGTGTCCTCCACCGGGCATGATTAGGAAGTTCGAACAATTTCAATTGTCCCAAGAGAAAAATCAAGAAGAGAGCTATCAGCTATGTTTGTTAACCACCTGTGTGACTTCATTTGGCCATGACGTAACGACATTCCACAAGCTGAAGACGGGGATCCGTAGTGACACCATGCTTGAAACATGGTGCTGCCTGATTCAACAAATCAGTAATATACTGACCACGTTGGATGTGGATGCATCAGAAGTGTAAGTGTCATTGAGCATCTTATACGAGAGTGACATGCTACACTGTTTACTATCGGAATAATCGTTCCTCCGACGCCGATCATCAGGGTCCCAACCACGGTCGGGTCTTGCCAATTTTATCTCGTCAAGTGTTTTGAGAAATGAACTTCCATTCTCCCTGACATCAACTTAGCAATAGATAAGAGAAGGTTGAGGGTGATATATATGAAACTAATACGAGGATGAAATTGCCTCGTGTACTCCGTACTCCGGTACGGAGGACGGAGTACGGAGTACCTCGTGGCCGCAGGCTATGATGAGTAAGCCCAAGCCCAAGCCCCTTTTCTAGGTTCCCCCGCCTCAGGGAAATTGGCTTGGAGATCCTCACGCACCAACACACATTCTTTTTCTCTTTCTCTATCCTTTCGTTAGCAGAGGTCTCTGAATCAAAGTCACTTTTGTACGGAAACCTCTGGAGTCTTTCATTTCCTCCCTTCAAACCTGCAATTCATACGCGGGTCGCAATTGTTGATATTCTGCCAAACAGCTCCTGAACACGTCCGACACCGCGTCAACTCCCGCAAAAATGGGTGCACAAGTATCTAAGATGATGGGCAAGATCTTCGGGACCAAGGAAATGCGTATCCTCATGTTGGGTTTGGATGCTGCCGGAAAGACGAGTAAGTTTCCTGGACCTTCCTGGAGATGTGGACCAACCTTGGCTAACACTCCTTCCAGCAATTCTCTACAAACTTAAACTCAGCAACCAGGATGTGACCACTATTCCCACCGTCGGATTCAATGTCGAGAGTGTGACCTACAAAAATGTCAAGTTCAATGTGTGGGATGTCGGTGGCCAGGACAAGATCCGACCGCTCTGGAGACACTACTACTCCGGTACACAAGGGTTAATTTTCGTGGTTGACTCCAGCGATACGGCGCGTCTCGAGGAGGCTCGCTCGGAATTGCACAAGATCATCAACGATCGTGAAATGAAGGATGCTCTGCTGCTGGTGTTTGCCAACAAGCAAGATGTTGCTGGCCGTGCGTATCTCCCCTCCCGTTCCTGGAATTGGATGAACCTGTCCGCTGACCCACTTCTAGACTTGAGCCCGGAGGAAATAACTGAGCAGCTTCACTTGACTAAGCTCAAGGACAAGCTGTGGTACGTTACGCCTAGTGTTGCAACAGATGGAACCGGTATTTTCGAGGGTCTGGTAAGTCGCATCCCTGATCTGTCTACTTGGAAAGTCCAATCTAACCGTGCTCTCTCTTGCTAGGCTTGGCTCTCCAACAATGTCAAGACCCAGCCCCAGAAATAAGATGCACCGCTGTGATTTCGAGAGGCGCTTTTAGAGCCACAATGTTGTACAAGATCTCGCATCATCCAGTGTTTTTCTCTTTTTTTCTTCATGTCCGTGTTCTGATGACAAGACGGCGCTGCATTTGGGCTTTTATTGCCTTGGTCGTTTCTTTTGTTGGCCTTAGTTATCTCGTTGCTTTTTCTATTGTTTATTTCCACTTCTATGATATCCCCTCTGTTCTTATATGGGCTTGTTGGGTCCAATTTAATACTTTAATTTCATTGTGCTTCTCTACCTGGCGTTATTGTTGGTACACTCTCGGTCAATTGTGGATGCGATTCCTCAAACACGATGGCCACAACTGAGATGGTGGAGACAAGTTTTGGCATTCAAAGTTGGTAGAAAATTGAAACAGATGACACACTTCTGATTAAAATGTGTGATCAAATTTCCATCTCGTTTCCACGGAGCTGGCCTCCGCCTTCGATCCAGATGTACATTTTAGCCATGGATCAATTCCAATCCAGTCACCGTTTCTACTTCTACCTCAACATGACGACAGCGGAAGTGATTCCCCCGGTCTTGGGTTATTTTAAATAGAGTGATGGTTTGGAGTTGACTCTTGCAAGAGCCTCTTTCTATCTACGAACAGCGATCTATTGCCCTACTCAGTTTTGTTCACGCCAATTTCCACAATTCAGTTTATCTTCTCGGAATATCCAAGTTCACAACTTCCACTACCTCCATTTCACTACCACTTCTTCAATTTTCCCCGACAGAAACTATGCCAATGCCTCGCTACAAGGAAGGAGACAAAGTAAGCTACAAACCGGTCGGCGGTATGACGCACCCTTTTTTTTGAAAGATACATTTACATTCCTAAGAAAAGAACGACCTAACAAAATAACAGGCGCGCAATCTAGAACCAGTAAAAGCGTTGGACTCATTCTTGAAACCTTGGGGGGCCGTAGCTCGTCGGACGACGAGCCACGCTATAAAATCGAGAACATGCACACCCACAAGAGCTCCAGTATCAAGGAGGGCAACATTGAGGGACCGGCAGAGTAACCCGTTGTCTCTCTACTCCGGTGGTGGGAGATGCATAGTGACTTAGCATACTAAATTGAGCTAAATTGCTTTGTCGAGAGGTTTTTTAGATATCTTTCTAGAACCAACTCGTCACAATGCGAATGTTAACGAGAGAGTAGGAATTGAAACGTCAACAAGAACAGTAGATCTCAAGATTTCTGACTTGTAGCTGGCTAGCAATTCTATAGGTAGGGATTCAATCACTTTAGTTTGCATTGTTTATTCAAGAGAAGAGCCGGAATGACGTAGAAATGCGATCAAGAGCCCATCACTACGCATTCGAAACGTTGAACTGGTCTCGTCACTACAACTTCAACTGAACGTCATCCAGTTTGACCATCTGTAGCAGGTTACACGGCCGGTATCAGCAGAACCGTTGACACTCATAGGGAAAGAAGATACTAATGTTTACCGATCCCTGACGATGAGCGACTTTCCCCCGCCGGGTACCACCATCAAGACAAGGGGTTTCAGAGAAGTGTGCGAGATCGATGACCGTACATTCTTCCGGAAGAGGGGTGCACAGGAGTGGACCGAGGATACTTCCAACCCGGAGGATTTGAAGCCACCGGTCGAAACCCCACATCTCTATCTCTATCTCGTCCAAGAAGAGCAAGCCCCCGGAGAACCCATCCATTGGGCTCTCTTCCTTGCTGACGAAAACGAGCCCGACTACGGCTATGTTTACCAGGTCACGGGAGATGCAAAGGAGATGAAGTACGATCCGTCGGCTGAAAAGATCAATGTCGTTGACGCTGGCCTCACTTCCAACGTCTATACCCTGGCTGTTGTGTCACAAGAACAGGCCAGGGCAGCGAGGCTGGTGAAACAAGCTGCTGAGGATGAGCTTCCTCCACAAGCGGAGAATCGGAAGTCTGTTACGGAAAATTGCCAAGGGTGGACTGTGCGTGTTATTGATAGGTTGGTTAAGGAGAAGATTGTTATGCCGCAAAAGCTTGAATTGGCAAGGTCCTTGATGCAGGCCGTTTGATGTCGGGGGGAAGGGGGAAGGGGGGGGAGTGGGCCGACCAAAAGGCTGCTGCGCCTCGCGTTTCATATAAGCAGAAAGAGATTGTTTTTGGTTTGTACATTACAGCCTGGCTAAAAAGGAATTTGGATTGAAATAGATGCTCCTTTACTATATTCAAATGACAAGTGCTCGTTCAATCATATATCATCAACTTCTAGGGATCTACTAAGACAAGTGCCATACAAACCCTAAATCCCAAGCCCTGCCACAGTTGAAAAGTGACGAGGCAGATGGGTTTTTATCGAACTTTGAAAGGGACAGAAAAGCCTTAAACACCAACATTAAGCCTGATTGGGCCAGATATCATTGGCAATATCACGGACCAGCTGCAATTTGTTGATCATACCGTCCCAGTCAATAGCATTCCCCTCACGGTGGGAAGCGAAACCACACTGCGGGCTAACACCGACCTGGTTAAGTGCAGCATCGAGGGAGATGTTGTTACCCTCAGCGATGAACTGAGCAGCATTTATAACCCGTATTTTCATCTCCTCCTTATCTTCAAGCATGGCGAACTTGCTAGTGACCACACCCAGAATGACGTTCTTGTTGGTGGGCAGAAACTTCAGGGGCTCAAAACCACCGCCGCGGGGGGAGTCGTACTCGAGATAGTAAGTGTGGACGTTCAGCTCCTGGAAGAGCTTGATGGCAATACGATCATAGCCACCTTCAGAGAAGTGTCGGCTGCCAACAAAGTTACCGCGGCACAGGTGGACACCGACGTGCATATCGGCAGGGAGGTTCGTGAAGCAGTCATTGTACTGCTTGATGTACTTCTCAAACATGGTATCGGCGGAGTACACGTTCAGAGGGTCCTCCTTGAAGCCAGTGAGGAACTTATCGGAGCAGAAGTCTGAGCGAAAGGTTAGCTTACTCAACCGATGGTGGCTCGCTGGGATACATCTTGCAAGCCAGGTTGGGGTCGTCGAACTGGACATTACGGCAGCCGGCGTTATACAGGATCTGAAGCTCGGCTTGATAGGCCTTGGCGATGTCGCCGAAGTACTCTTCGTCGTTGATGTATACGGACTTTGGATAAGCCTTGCCCTCACGATAGCGCAGGTGATACCAGTTAGGCGCGGCAAGAGTGATCTTCAGATTTCCAACCTCGTTGGCAGGGACCTGGCGGGCGACGAACTTGAACTGGTCGAGGTAGGTGCTACCGACGTGATTGATCCTGCCAGTACAGATGACGCTCTCACCGGGCTTGTGACCGGCCTCTAAAAATGCGGCGATGTCGGGGGCATAGGGACGGAAGTCATCCACATCGACATCGTTGACCTCCTCGAAGCCGTCCAAACCGGCGAAGAAAGTACCCCAGAACACTACATCAGTCAACGCGACTCACCAAAATGCTCTCCGGGTCTCTTACTGTGACGACGGTACTCGCCGTCGGACAGAGCGGCATAGCCAAGTTTCTGCTGGGTCTCCACGATGGCCTCAATCTCCTTGTCCTCGGAAGCGGTCAGTTGTGACTCGGGAATCTTGCCAGCTTCAAAAGCGAGCTTGGCTTTCAAAAGTTGATCTGGACGCAAGAGAGAGCCCAAGTGCTCTGTGCGGAAAGGGGGACGCTGGTGAAGTTGAGGAGCCATTGCGAATGGAGTATGTAGATTAATTGTGAGAGATGATGAGCGTTGTTTCCATTAAGATGCGACCGAATCGTACCTTGAATGTCTACTAGAACCCAAAGGAAATTCGAGAAGAAAAGAAAGGATGGGAATCTGATAAATCATAAGAGGGACATGGCATTGCCATTGCCCATCCGAGCTCTACGGAGTACACATCCAGCTGAGATCGAAATTGCCCCACAACGAAACACTGAGGCTCTCCACATTCAAGTTTTCAAGTTTCCTCCATGTTGTTTGTCTGATATCCCTGTGGTTTTTATAGAATCATATGACAACGAGGTGAGATTGTTCCACATTCTCCATCTGGCTCAGGACATGGTCTTGGATCTATTGGAGTGCACGGACCATACGGTTGCCCTGCTTTGTCCATTTCTGTCCTCTGTCCCTTTAACAGTGTATCGATATTGTCCTCTACATCTGTCTTCCAATCTTCTCTTTAAACGGTGCTCCCATGAGTACAATAACTCTCAATTTGATAACTTGGAAAGACCATCTGCTGAGTCACCAATTACAAGGAGCTCAGTGGAGCCCGATTGGAGTGGGGAAGCCCGGCACTTCACTTTCATTCCTTCAGCCGACCACGACTCCTATCTATTCTACTAGTGCATTCTGGGTAAACTGTCGTACAGGGCAGTACGGAGTACTAGATTTCCAATTGAGATAGTAATGTGGAGCGAGGCCTTCGACATGCGCAATTTGCCATGTCTGTGCCAGCCTCTCCTTTAGAACTTCTCCCCAATGAGCTTCTAGATCAGATTATCTCCTACTTGTCCACGGAACCCCCGTCATTTGGACAACTGCATCATACACCAAGTCTAAAGATCACCCGATCTCCTACAAAAGACCTCAAACATCTCGAACTGTGCTCACGACGCCTATCTCAACTTGCGCGACCTCAACTATTCACTCATATCCGGCTCAACCTCCATGATGAATCTAACTTCCACTCGTTCATGATCAAATCGGATCTCTGTCAATATGTGACATCTCTTGTCGCCATCGTGGATGAAACCCCAGATTGTCAGGTCGACCCATTTTGGTGGCGTCGAGTCCTCCGCTATCTAGACCCTCGCCGTATTCTAGTAGTAGGGCCGCCAGTCTTCATTGGCAACACTCTAGCTAGCCCGATCAATGATGGACATCAATGGGCATTTGATATGCCCCTACAGATCCTGCTTTTGGAACGGGAGTGCAAATCCCGTGACTCATCCCAGCTGCCTGACTTGGCAAATTGTACTAGTCTTCTGGCATCACGACTATGGACATCGATGTCTTTTAACGAGTCATCTTCCCTGAAAGCATACAACCACTACGAGTACTTCCTTTCCTGTGTCCCATCGGTTCTTACAGAATGGGGTACAAGTGGCATACGCGGATCAACCCGTACGCTTCAACGCCCAATTGACCTGCCAGCTCTCTTACGTGGCCTTACATACTTCTCCTACACAGCCGTGTTTCCATTTTACAATCACTCGCAAATTGTACTGGACGCTATCGTGAGGATGCGTTGTCTGCGACGCCTTGATGTACAATTGGCTCCCCCCCAGGATAATCACATTACCGAGCTTGAACAACGAGGGTCCATGAATCCTAACGATCCATGGATGGAACTTGTAACATCGTATTCTCTGATTGGGTATACTGTGAATAACCTGCCCTGTTTAAAAGAGTTCAGGTGCGGTGACCTGCATGTGGAGGCCATGCGACAGGATTTGCTAGCTGTCTTGGACGATGTTATCGGGGACGGGGGCTGGGTGCATGATGGGCGTGGAGTGTGGAGGCGATCTTGATCATTTTCTCACATCAACGTATCTTGATCATCCAATTTACTATCAAATTTCATCATGATCAAGAGCAATGCCAAAATGATATTCCAGATCAAAACACTCAAGTCGACAGAGGGAAAGCTTGTGGGTGAGGCTAGACCAAATCGGGGGATTCCCACTTTCACTTTTGTCTCCCCCACTCGCTCTTCGCTTCTTCTTCTACTTGTATACTGATATCAAATCTCCATAATAACCTGACAAGGATTTGTATATGAGAAGTCATGGCCAGCGCGCGAAATGTTTACTCGGCAGAGCCTGCATTCCCGATCCTTGCCGATTCTCTACTCCGACAATCCGAATTAACGGAAAATGCAGCTCTTCCATATGAGACAAGCGCAAAAAATGACTGGAACCTCAAGAATGAGTGGAAGCACGGTATCCAATTTCACAACCACGCGGTCTTTCGGGGCGGGGTTGTCCTCGGCTTCTCCAGGCTGCGAACGAGAAGCAACGAAAGCAACGAGTATATTGGACAGGTATAACTGACTTAATAACGCTTGTTGTGAATTGTCACTGAGACTGGTATGATCATAGATCCCTCGCCATATTCTCACAAATCACCTGCGCAGTATCCATTCATCATCTGAGCCAAGCGCATTCATTATCCACCCACGGAGTTTCGAGGCTTTTGCTCCAAGGACTCTACTCAGTGCACTGCAGTCTTCTTCACACAGCCAGTCTGGTCTATCCAGGGATGATGCAATCCGTAGACTTGACTCTGTGCAGTTACTTCCTGTGCATAACTTCTCCAATGCGGCACAGGCCATCGGTAAGGTCTCAGAAGCGTTGCACGAGATCCAAGAAAACAGAGAAAAGCAAAATCAGAAAGCCTCTACAGGTGCAGGCCCGTACACTGAAACCCCCATTATCCTCATTGTTGCGGGCCTTGACACTCTAACGGAAGGAGTAATTCGAGCCTCCAACCCGGCTCGAGGTGCAGCCGTGCTGACAGCTACACTCCGCACTTTGACGCATTTGTCTCGAGTATACGACTCTCATCTCTCAATCATTCTTGTCAATACTAATGGACTGGGGACGCTGAATCCAGAGTGGGATAAAAACCAACCGTCGACCGGAAATAGTACCGTCCATGGAGATAGTGCTGCGAGGCAGCCGCTGGAAGATGGTATCCACTCCATCTTCCATTCGGATATCCCCTCCCTGTTCCCCACCTTGCTCATGAAGACCCTAGATCAAGGCATTGATACCCATCTGATGCTTTCTGATTTGAGGGGAGCCCAGATACTCGAAGTGATCAAAGATCGAGTTGGTACGAGTCTAGGCAAATGGGGAATATGGAACGAGCAATAAATGTTACCATTTGCCATGATTTCACTGTCAGAATAAGATGACCTTGATGGATCTCGATGCAATTGTTCATACTACTACAAAAAAAATACTCAAACAGGACAGAGCCGCCTCTCGCAAAGCGCCGCTTTGTATGCAACTGACCCAAACCCGGGCCACTATCATCCTGCTATATTAAAATCTGCAAACTACCAACTCCAGTCCATGAGCCCTATTTTTGGGCCTCTCCGCAATCAAGGGGTATCAAGCTTTTGTTTTGCGGAATCCGGCTCGCCATGGAAAACTTGAGAACATGCATTCGGCATTCAAGCCTGATTATCCTTCTCGGCCCATCGTCTCATCACACCTCGCTCCACCACAGATCGAGCTTCCTTCTCACACTTGGCGAGGTCCTGCTCTGCCGTTTCCTCCTCGAAGAGGATATCCTGCTGCTGCACTTTGACCCACTGCTTATGTCTCTCGCACCGCTTCTTAGTGCAAACACCACGCGTCCAGAATGAAATATCGTCATCGCCGTCGCCGTTCATCGCCGTGTCCCCATCTGCATCGGTGCCCGCCGAGAAGCTCATAGCCAACGCTTCGGCTGTTCCCTCCGCGAGAGCTTTCTTTCCAGCGCCAGAGAGGCGCCATTCATCGAATTCCTCGTCGGACCACGAGAGTCGCGAGTCAAAGCCACAGATATCTTTCCATCCGCCCTTCGGCTCGTGCTGCTTCAGTTTCTCTACCACGCCCTTGGCGCGTGGCTTGAGAAGCGAGACGAATGTCGTGCGTGCAGCAAGCATCTCCTTGCGGTGAAGGAGCTCCTTGCGCTGCGTGCGCAGCTTTTCGATCTTCGCAATCTCATCGGGCGAGTATTCCAAACCGGTGGCATGGACGTCCACTCCCAACCACCTGCCGCTCTGCGGCTTGGATTCGGCTTGGATTTCAGCCCCGGCAGTTTCATTCTCGTCTGCCCGTGGTGGTGGGGATACGATGCGATCTCCGAGCTTTCGGAATTCTTGTGTGGATGTCACCCCCATAATCGCAGCTTTCAGGTCTCCGACTGTAAGAATGCCACCCATGCTCCCCAGGTCCTCAAAAAGACCATTTACCTGACCGGCACGCTGTTTAAGCTGCTGCGTCTGTTGACGCATGAATTCTCGGCCGTGTTCATCACAGCAGTACTTGCTGGGGGGCTTCGTCCTCACGCGCGCCGGTTTCCGGCACTCGACCAGGCGACACATTGGTTTCCAAATTGTGCATCCCTTTCCTTCACTTGCGCACTTCGGGCCTGGTTGTTTGAAGTTAGTTCCGTACAAGAGAGAGCCGTCACGAGTGGACACTTACAGATGTACCGTTCGATCAGATCAGCATCTCGAGGATCGATGTTGACACATCTCCCATGGTACCAGTCATCACAGTCGCCATCACACCCGATCATCCACGTATGGTTATCGGGTCGGCGGCAAATACAAAAGATTGCGTTTTCGTCAAAGCTGTCGGAGTCGTCATTTTCATGGGCAGCAGCTGGTTTGGGCCCTTTCTTCTTTTTCTTCTGTGGCTTTCTCCTCTCCTCGGGAGGTGGTGACCCTGCTATCGAGACAGAATTTTGCTTCTTGGCGGCTGTTTTGCTGGCCCGGGAGACTGGTGTGTTGGAACGCCGCCCATCAACACTGTCTGCGTCCGCGTCATTCACCTTGCGCTTCTTGGCAGCTGGTTTCTTTGCAGTTGCCTTTTTGGTAGTGCTTGTCGGAGGCTTTTTGTTTGCTGCTTTGATGGAATTTGCTGGGGAGGACCGGTCGGATGACGACGCTCTTGATGTCAGCCCGTGCTTGAGGTTCGCCACTGTTCTGGACGTTGCGTAGTCAACTGTACCATCGAGACCTAGTGAATTTGTGTCCAAGTCATCGCTAGCTGGAAATCTATCGAGGGTAGAGCTTGTGGGTTCGGTTTTGACGGACGGCAGGGGTGTATCTCGGTTTGCGACCAGCGGAATTCCCTTGCTGGGGTCGTAGGCACCATTATATAGGTCAGTCCAAGTAACACTCGTCTCGGAACTGGCCATGCCCTCTTCAGACGCAGGCCCAAGATCCCTGAAGAGTCGGTGGACCTTCTTAGCTCTGACGGTGCCAAAATATCCGCATTGTCGCCAGCCAGCAATCCCCACCACCCGATTATCCTGGACAATGACGTTGCTTGGAGTGAGATTGTTGTGTGTCAAAGAGAGCTCCTCCTCCTTGCCTTTTTCTGTGAATAGGATATCTCGTTCGCGAGTCTCGACGGAGGGCGGAATTTGGAAATTCAGTTCACGGCACATATAGGACGGTTCGTCTTTGGGGGACTCGATTGTTCCGAGTAGTTGAATGATCTGGCGGCACTGGTTTTTGAAGACCTCGATCTGCTCCGCGTCAAGATACCTCCACGCAACTTCTAGCGAGACGCCCGCAATGCGGGACTCGATTGTCACGTTCCTCCCCTCAATTGTCCCGCAAAAATATACAACCGGCACTGCAACCCCGATCTCTCTGAGCGAGTCCTCTGCTTTCTGCGCGGCTGATAGTTCATTCGCATTCGCAGATGAGTAGCTCTCAGCCGCTGCTCCATCGGCCAGTTCGCGGTCCACCCAAATAATTATACTTCCAGCCGCAAATGCCTCCCTCGGTCCTGAAATATTGAGTGAGTTTTCCGGGGTACAGTATTGCTGCGCGACCTTCTCCCAGAATGAGTTCACGGCCGGGTCGGACCGATACCAGTTCATGAAGCGAGGGGTGAAGTCGTCAGCGCGGGGTGTGTAGCGGCCATATTGCGCGCTCTGGGAAAGAAACGGGTCATCGCTGGGAATACGATCAGGATTTGTTTCGTAGGGGTTGTTGATTGTGAACTTTGTGACCGCGGCGCCGTTCACGTGGTTTGCGCTGGTGGCCGCCTCTATCCCCGCCATGGCCGTCACGAGAGGAGTGTCGGGGTTGATTGTGCGGAGGTTCGAGATAGTAGCTCTGGAAATTTCTCGTCCGTAAGGCAGAGAAAATAAAGCTTGTGTGTACTCCTGCGACGTTCAAATATGTGAGGGAAGATCGCGCGGGCAAAACTAAACCGATACAAGTTCCACCGAGACTGCCGGAGACATCATGTGGATTGCATCGATGGTGTAGGGTCTTGCAGAGGGCTTTTCAGGATTTTTCTAGCCTGCGCGATCCCACTTCTGCGATTGGGAGAGTGCTCTCGGTGGTCTTGAGTTGACTGTTGAATTCTCGCGGGTTGAAGGGTTGGCGCGATCCCACCGCCGATCGAAGAGATGGGAGTCTGGTCCAATGTCTTCACTGGAGGTGCTTTGTTAATTGTTATGAGAAGGAATCAATCTGAGACCCTCCCTTGAACATACAGATTGTTTGATTCCAGCTTGATTCAATGTCTAGTGCCTTAAGGTCTGGATTGAACATTGTCAGAGTTGCGGACTGAGCGCGAAGGCGGTGAGAAGATCCCGGGCACACGACAGCGACATCCTCAACTTGTGGTCCCTAACGGATGTTAGGGCCTATTATATATGCCGCTGCAAAGACAAATGGAGGTTTTCTGTTTGTCCCTATGATCTTTTAACCTAGCGGTTAAATGGTCGGATGTAATCCATCAGGAGTAGCGGCCTGATTTGTCTACGGGTTTACAAACTTTACATCTACTCCTCCACGGAGAGGTCTTAGAAAGAATACCTACATCCATGACATGCAAGTGTCGAAGACGCGCTTTTGCTGGGCCCTGGCTTCCATTCTCATTCAATACCTCCCTACCCACTCACACGCTCGGCTAGATAGCTCTTGCGTAGTCACGCTCGATGGCCTGCTCTCGTGTTTTCCTGTATCACCACCGCCCATCATGGTAAGTTTCCAGCTATATTTCAAATTACAGGCATCATCTTCCGAAGGAAAGACTCAATGATCGCTTTCAAGGTGCGGTGTCAAATGTTGCTAGAGGCTAGAGTGGCCGATAGCGCAAGATGGGATTTTTAGACGGTTTATTGTCTATTTTGCACATGTGCTAAGTTAAAAAAAAAACTGCAGATGGGGTTTCAAATGGCATTTCAAGTCGGAGAACTTGATGTGCTTGTTCAGAGCTTTGGCTGCATCAAAATTACAGCAATATATGACAGCATGAGTCGGGTGGCATTGTGCTTTTGACTGTATTTAGATAGACATTCACAGACATCAAGGCAGAAAAAATATGCTGGTGTAAACCCTCGCTAAGCAAACAAATTCGGTAGATAATAAAAGCCACCCGACTCAAAGTTAATGAATCGAGCGCTCTCAAGGGGGAGGAACCAGTTTAGGTCATCTCTAATTACTCCCTTTGTGCTCAGGCTGAGATTTAGATTGGCAATTGGCATCTCACCGGGCTCTATTCAATATCATTCCAAATATAGATGTGAGCACAGGGTTGCAAAGTTTGGGAGAAAAGGAGATCTACTTCCCACTATTCAAGGTGCTATACTCCCACAGACAGATGAGCGAGCGAGGCACAATGCACATCAACATGATATGGAGAAATCGAAGAGTTACAATGGCAACTGCGTTGGTCTTATCATGGAGCAGCATAATCGATTTGTGCAATGGGCTGGCCGTTGATTCTGGGTCTGCTTGCTTCCCGTGTCATGACTTGAGGGTCATCAATTAAAGATCCTTGGGTGGTAGAATAGTGTCATCAACCACCATGTGGCCACACCTTTCAAGTGAAAATGGATCTGTACAGCTCCCAGGTGTAAGGCACCTGAGTCCAAGATCAGCCGGTGACATAGAGCAGTTTAGAGTGCCCTGGATGATCAGGTCAATAGTTGGAGACAAATGCACCTGCGGGCACATGAAAGAGGGTCTCAATGCTACAAGAGCGTGCTGGGTTAGGCAGATGAGACTGAAGAAACAAAAGGTCGTCTTCCTTAAGCAGGCTAGACTTCCATTTTTCGAGGATATCAACCATGTGAAGGGAATAACGTATTTCACTCCAGTGGAAATTTAGAGACAATGGGAGCCAACCCTAACGGGGGAGACGCCAGACCGTTGGAGGCAAGCCACTTCCAGGGTCCTCCCAGTATCTCGCTGATGATTCCCGGTTGACTACCTCCCTAAATTGGAACTTGATCACCTAAATGACCAACTCACCAAGCTAAAATGTTAGTTCACGCCGATAGTGGAATGGGCGGGCTAAACCTCGGCTCCGAATGTCCTTCCAATCCCTTTACCCAGTCCTCTCCCCTCAGTGTGCGGAGCTTTGGCCTCTACTCCCTCGGAATACTCCTCAATGTTTATGGCGCACATACTGCGTGGGGGCTTTTTACAACATTCTTCTCCTTGGAGGCTTGAACCTTGCTAAGAAATCTTGTTCTGGCTTGCACACAGACACAGGTTGCTCCGTATGTTGTAAGTTGCCCGACGATTAGCTGTTGTGGCCCCCATGCACGGAACTTTCGACCGGCTATTTTGACCAATAGTTGTGAAGCGGGTCAAATGAACTTGCGCTACGGAGTAGCCGATGTGCAGATGCTGGACTGTTGTTATCCTTTTGGCGCTCTAGCAACTCCGTTGCCATTTGTCAAAAGAGGATGTGCTTCACTTCTCATGCAATTTGACAAGTCTTGTTTTCTTTGATACTTTTCTTTTTTGAACCCGGTAGATCCAGTTTCAGGGTGATTGGGCTTGGTCAGATCACGGCATAGCGTTGAGATTTTTTTTTCAACGAGTACTCCGAAGTGGATATGGATTCAATTTGAACTCCATCGGAAGATACTCAGATGCCGCGCTAATTCGCACAGGTGGGAGCTTCCAAGGTTTCTTTCGGGAGTAGCCGATAAAAAAAAATAGGAGAGACATCGGCTCTACCCGAGGTGTTTTAGCATCGCAAATGTACCCAAATTGCTCATTGTGGATATCATTTTGTGGGGCTCAAGTGGCAACCATGCACGGTAGATTAAATCCATAAGCCGATGTACCAATCTAGACTAGTATTTATAATGATGTTCGTCCTGTGCAGAGGGAATGAAAACGTGCCCCTGCATTGACATGAAAGACAAGTGAAATCGATTAGAACTCTCCCCTGTGTCAGATTCATCGATTGTAAAAAAAAATCACAATGAAGAAGGCCTTGGTAGACGGATAAGGGAAGGTGGGGTGCTTTATAGACTCGATCCACAAGGCTCTCAAAAGACCCGATTGTTGCGGAGCTACGTCAAAGACTAGAAAAGATCATAGTAAAGTGTCTCCGTACTCAACGTATAGAAGGTCTCAATTCTCTCACGTTTCTCTCTCAATCCACAAAGAGCGGTTTTTTTTTTAAACCACCAACCAATCGAAGGAAAGGGGGGGGGGGGGAAACAGCCCAACAAAGAGAAAACGAAAACCAACAAAAGCGGTTCTCGACTAGCCTACAGAATGCCGTCTGGTGCTAGACTTCAAGCCAGTGTCTTCATCAACCGTAAGGGCCGAATTGCAGATCCGCACGACATGCCCGATTTTTGCTGCGTTACAGTGCATTTGTCCCAGAGCATGTCGTGTGATGGGCAAAGCAACGACGAGATCATGAACCTTGTGCTTTGCTAGATTTAGAGTGAGAATGCCATCATTGGCGATAGCATCCTGCGTGGTTGAGGGTTCCATTGCCTTTCATTGCCGGTTAAGGGCACTCTCGGAGAAAACACCAAAGTTCAGTCTAACGCTGAAACTCTCGTTGAACGGTGACTCAAGCCCATTCGCCTGGGTAGAGTCTGTCTTGACTAGTCCAACAGCCTCGAGGATGTACCTCATAGGTGGGGCCAGTCTCCATAACCCAGCAATGGTCTTGTACTCCGTAGATTACCTCTCAATAAAATGGGACTGGCACATCCGGCACGAAAGACCGAGATATTTCCTTTTTCTGGAGAACGGATATCCCGGAAATATGGCGAGAATTTGCCGGAGATCGCCGAAGACGATGCCCAAGAGGGCATGTGGCAAGCGTAAAAAGCCAGCGTGGGGGCGAAGAATTAGGGTATAGCCTCATAGTTTAAATTTCCAAAACTTCAGTCTGTACTATATAATGGATCCAGCGCTGAGAATGTTTGAATTTGCTAGTCTCTATATCTCGGTAGTCTACAGAGTACTCCGTAACCCTAACGTTTTTACTCCACGGAAGAAGTCGGTCACCAAATAAATGAAGCCTTTGGAGTCTGCTAAGAAGAATAGATTGCTATTGCATCATTACAATGGCATATCTAGACATATTCTCTAGCGCAGTTAGGCGACACAAATTGCATAGACGAGATGGGTTAGCAAATTCAGTGAACGAGGTAGCTCGCCGTTGAGTTGTGAAACTTCCCCCTGCAGAGATCTCCCTTTCACCCCCCACTAAAAAAAAAAAAACACCACAATGAATATTCTGGGCCGAGTCCTCTATGTCCATTGATTGATATCATCCCTTGCAGGATTTCCTGTAACAAATCAACCCCAGCTGAGAAAATCATACAATGCTTCGATTTGGCTGCCAAGACACTATCGGAGCTCCCCCGAGACCTCAAGAGACCCATGGGCACGTGCGGTTCTCTCGTCTTCGGTATTCATCACGCTGCACAAGATCCAAGAGACTACAAGGCATGAGAAACGAGGGGATTTTTCTACGTGAGGGAGCTATATGAGGAACCTTCCCAATCGGTAATTCACAGACAACGGGCATTCGACCGCAGACCGGGGGGGGATGCCGGTTGCACACCCGGGCACTCAAGTTGATGATTCGAAGTGACATAGTGGAGACAGTTTACTTGCCTCAAATTCTAAAATATGGACTTGATAGATTCAACCTAGCCTATTTTGGGGGACAACATGAGAGGCTGGTTTTTATCACGGCCCGCTCATGATCTTGAAGCCCAGATTGGGGTCTGAATTCTAGCGCGTTTGGCCCTCAAGAAGAGGTTGTATAGCTCATACACATCTATTCGGCTTCTGACTTGCTACACTATTGACCTCCACACGTGTTGACCCGCATGTTGAAAAACCGCTATTCCATTCTGGTCTAGTTCGTCAAAAGACGATGAGTGGAGAATCGCATCCCGACTAATGCTCTCTCTCGCGCGACTTATCTCTATCGTGCAGTGACTGTACTCCTTTTTACGTTAGATCGTGGGTTAAAAACGAGTTGCCCCATGGTCACTTGGCAGTTCTATTCCTGGATTCTTGTACTTTAAAGGAACGTTGGACTCGCCCCGTCGATTGTATCCATCGCAAATTTCTCCATACCGACCTTCCTTTACCCCACAAGGAAATGAACGGCTCTTGTGTTTTGATTACACATATAGGGCTCTCCAGTATTTACCTAGGCACTTCAAAACGATGTCAGCCTCTCTTGGCCAGACCGCCAGCAGTGTACCGGACGCATCCAACGTGCGGTGGCAATTCATCGACTCTTCGAACAATAGTCGAACCAACTTAACCCAAGTGAAGCGTCATGTTATGCAGGAATACATGCGTCAAAAGAAAGTTGTCGCCCGTCAAAGTGAAAGTGAAGAGGAGACACAACGACCAAAACGTGGAAGACCCAAGAAGACTCGGAGTGCGCAACGAAGATCAGACAAATCAAACGGTGATATCAACATCCAACGCCGAGCAAGGAGAGCAACCAGAAAACAATCTATCCGCAAAGAAGACCTCAATGTCGAGTTCAGGTACGATGTGTTTGCTTCAAAAGCTATCCCGTCAGACCTTCCATCGATCGAATCCAATGACACGCCTTTGTTTCTCCCTTTCCGACAGTCTTCTGTCCACCCTCAAGGTGTTCCTCTCCCACTGGATGGCTTTGTCGATGTGCATCCACAAAGTTATCCAAGCCATGATCTATGCCTTGACAGTTTCTCGTGGCCATCGTCTTCTGCGATCCCATACCAGTTCATGCCACCACCAAATACGATCACCAGCGATGCGAAAATTGGCACCGTCAACACTCTTTCCATACCTGCAGATCAAGATGAACACGGGATATTTGACTCCTATGTATATGATATGCCAGCTTCCTCCTATGGATCCTTTTACCGGTCTCCCACAGCCCACAATGGTGATGCGTCGGCTTTTGTGTCTGAGACAATGAAAGGTACCGTGGCATTCCAAAAGAGAAAAAAATCCCAATTTATTCCATGCAGCTAATACTTTGTCATGAAGACGAAACTCAAAATCCTCTTCTTCATGTAGATCGAGCTGTCTCCATGTTTCAGGAGCAACGCGCTGTCAACCCCCATGGCATCTCCGACGTTGCAATCATTTCCTGTCTGAGTGCCGCCGCCTTAGAGGACTGCGATCCCCGACCAGGCCACAAGGAAATAAGCCGAGTGCACATGCGAGCTGCACGCGAGATGATACGAGCGCGTGGTGGACCTGCTGCATTTACCAACACTCGCATCGGCATGATGATCAACTGGCAAAACTACCTCTTGCCGAGAAATGAGACCCACGAACCCAGCGTCTTCTGTGACTACGACCAACCAGCCTCATTGTCCTCTGAGTCTCTACCAACACTGCCGCAGTCAATCCCAAACCCTCACTCAATGCCATCTCCACCTTATTCCACCGCCTCAGCCTTCTCTGAACTCTCGCCCAGCCCCAAACCTCAAACAATGCTCCCATCACACTCAGAAACAATCCCAATAGACGAGATCAAATTCCAATGCGAGGAATTCTTCGACTTCCTCCGACGCTGCGAACAACTCGCCCGATACAAACGCGACAACCCCCAATCATCATACCTAATCCGCCACACAGCAGTCCAAAAAACATCCATCCTCTACCAAGTTCTCGTGGCACCTCCAGACGCCCGATTCATAACCGTTAATGACCGAAAACAAATGGTTGCCCGCTTAACAGCGTTGATGACACTCAATGCCGCGATGTGGGATTACCGTAACACCCCTGCACGCGCAGCAATATTCCTCGGCACAATCGAGAAATCCATGGTCGATAGCGAAGTCGGCATGAATTCCTCCGTCGACGCCATGCTCCAAACCTTGCTGAAATGTAGCGACGGCACTCTTGATAGGTGGCCTAGCAGTGCCGACAGCTTTGCTTCTACTGTTCCAGTAGAGGAGCTCCCAGACTTCTCTCAGTACTTCCCCACTGCTGCCTCGCCGTCAGCGCGTCCATGGTTCGTGGGCCGTATGCTGAAGGTTACTAGTCGGTTGGGTTCTTTGTCGTGGTACCGAGTCAATGAGTTCTTGTTCTCGTGTTTGACACTCCAGGTACAGGAGTCGTCTACGGCTATCTGGGAAGAGGAGCTTCGTCGGGAGATTCTCGATGCGCCGACTACTTGTGTCATGCGCCCATTGGATTGGTGATTTGTAGCACTGGCTTGGACCAGATGACCTGTACTTGTGTTTATGTTTTGATGTTTTGATGCCTTTTCATGTTTTCTACCTTCTTGCACCACTTTTTGAGACGTTCTTGTGTATATACCCTCGCTATTACTTATAACATACTGTGAGTCATTGATGACCTTGGTGACTTGTAAAGTGGCCGATGCAAATGTGATTTGTTACACATGATTTGCATTGTTGTGTGATCATAGGGCACCACTCACTCTGTGATTTCACTAGAACATTTTTTTTTCCCTTTTTGGTAGACTGCCTTGGCAGCAGGTTTAATAACAAATTCTGAGTGCGCTGTGGTCAAGTTACTCTGCCCTTGTCAGTGCTGAAATTGTTGGCACTCTTGAATGAAGTGTGACAGGCCATATCACGCGGTCATTGTTGTGGTTGAAAACTATCATTGTGGGTGGACGACGACTGGATACTTTGTTGGTATCGAATCCGAACAGACACTTCAAATGTTCATATCCCCTAGGTACTGCATCGCTGAAAGTACATGTGTATATCCAAGCGAAAGCAACCCTACAACCTTGGAAGGAATTTCAAGTCTACGACTCAAAGGCCCTTTAAAGACCCAGTAGAGTCATCGAGCAGTATCTCAGTATGCATAGGTAGGTTATAGAATCAGAAAACTCACGTCATGAATGTAAAGATTTTCTCAACAAGCCCATTCAATACATGATTGTAAAAAAACTAATGTGACGACAAGAATATCAGAACAACATAAACTTTACATCTATATCTTTCCCTCAAATCCCTAGAAATTGATCGCCAGCAGGATCACCATCACAGTACCCACAAGCCGCATCATCGACGACTGAGTACCTACAGATGCAGCCCCGGTGTAAACCGGACTCACTGCACTTGTTGCAGTGGAAATAGTAGCCGTGGCCAGTCCACTAGGGTAGCTGTTGGGGAACCACGGCCGAGTCGAGGAAGGAGAGACAGCACCACCCGCTCCAGATCCAGTACCCCTGTATGGGGTGTGTAGAGAGAGACGCATGGTGGGCTCAGCAGCGTTGGTCTGAGTCACCACGATAGTGTTGATGTATCCGGTACAGGTATCATCTTCGGAGCAAGACTCAACGACGATGATCGTGGTATGGGATGTGCCTGCATAAGAGCTTGATCCTACACTCCCAGAGCTAGATTGAGATCCGGGGATAGCACCGGTGACTTGAGGGTTTGCAACCGTCACGGATACAATGGATATGTCGACACCTTTATCTGGGACAGATGTGTAGACTGAGGACACTGGGTAGACAGTAGTTGCGACAGCGAATATCTCGGTGGTTGCGTAAGAGGTCTTCGATCTCAGAGGGCAATCCGTGACAAGTTCAGGGCAGGCAAAAACGGTGGCTGTGTGAGTAGCGAAGATAGTAGATATAGTCAGCTTGGGAGCCCCAATATCGACACCTTCAACTGCTTCAGTGACAGAAGGAGATGTAGTATGCTTAGTAGACACGGCGCTGTTGGTACCAGTGGCCTTTGCCACGGGACAAACTGTTGTGGAGAGAAGCAGCGTCTCAGTGGTCAAATATGTGGTCTTGGATCTCAGTGGACAGTTGGTCACCGAAGATGGGCATGCGGTGATGGTGGCAGTGCGGGTGCTATAGACCGTAGAAGTTGTCAGATCTGGGCTACCGTTTCCATAGCCATCGTCACCAGCCCCTCCAGTGGCGGACAGCAAAGCAGATGCTGTCTGGCTAGGGCCGGTAGTCTCAGTGACAGGGCAGATTGTGGTAGATACCAGAATTGTCTCTGTAGTCACAAATGTTGTCTTTGAGCTGGCAGGGCAATTAGGAACGGTAGTAGGGCATGCAGTGATGGTAACCGTGCGAGTCGAAAAGACGTTTGACGTGGTCAACTTCAATGAAGAGGATCCAGAGCCCAGATTGGGCTGAAGTGCCGCGGGTGGGGTGGATATGGGAATAGAAGCGACAACTGTGGTGCTATCATCAGAGCCAGACGTTGAGATGGTGACCCGTGAAGCTGATGATCCGAGTCCAGTGGTTGCTCCTGAAGAAAAACCACTAACTTGCTGAGGCTCAGTTGAAAGAGAGCCGGATGCAGATACCAAGACAGACAGATTGGTAACAGGGGTAGAAACAGGTGCTGAAGGGGTCTGAATAGCCACAGATGATGACTGAGGTCTGGGTGTCTGACTCCAATGCAGCCAAGATGAATGGCTAGGAAATCCACTTAGATGGGGAGTTAAAGTAGGGATCACACTAGAGGCGAGCACTGCCGATGAAGAGCGAGCTGGACAAGGTTTGCGACTAGGCAGAGGCCTAGGGATATAAGACCAATGATGATGGTTGTGGTGGCTGTGGTTGTGGTGTGTCACCACAGCAGTAGGGATAGAAGTCACAGTTGGTTCAGCCATCAATGTCGTGGCAAGACTGGTTTGCAGACATAATGCGACCACAATCCATCCTCGAACAAGAAAAGAACCCATCTTGACCGTCACCAAACCGATTGAACGATTGACAGTAAGATGATTCGAAAGCAGCGAAAACGAACGACTGATTCAACAAACAGAAGGGAATGACTGGCAGTTGAACTGGGAATGCAAAAAGAGTGTAGGAAGTCCAAGTCTAAAATGAAGCCGAGAGAAATTGTGGCCCCGTATATACAGCGTCGCTTAGGGTTTCCGTACTCGCAATACGGGAACGCCGACAACCAAAAAGGTAAAACTTTTGAACTAAGCGCAAAACGATCGAGTAACTTGATTCATCTCTTGGATCTAAGATAAACTATTGACGCCATTGACGCCTCCACTCGCTTGTTTGCGCTTCGTCTTGAATTTGTACATCGTGGTGAAAATAGCCGGCCGAGATTCCCATTTTCACGAAAAAGGGAAAACTATTTAGTGCGAGGAAGTTCCGAGCTTAACTCTCTGGATCATTCTAAGAGCACGTTGTGAAATATGAAAATGTCTATTCGTCGCTTTGCCTTCGCTGCAGCCCTCCTGCTTGGCCAGGCTTCAGCCAGCACGCCTGTGGCCAGCTCTCCACTAGCCAGCAGTCAAGCTCAGGTAGCCACAGAAACCTGCCGAACGGAATTAGGACCTAGCTCGGTGAAGTTGGTACCTACCACAACCATCACTCGTACGATCCATGAGCGTACCCCCGTCGTTGTCCTCACAACAACTTTGGAAACCGTCACGGTCACTCCTGCTGGGTCGACCGAGATAGTGACGGACTATGAGACCACTGTTATCACCTCCACAGCCGATGTGATCACCGACACTTTCTCAACAACCTCAACTGATTTTGACACTGCGACATTGACTCTAACTCCTGCTCCTGTCACGACAACCGTTGCCGAAGTCCTCTCGACTACCTCGACCAGCACCTCTACCATTGCCACATCTGTAGGCTTCACTCCAATTGTAGACACTCTGCCTCCCACTGTTACTGCCAAGCGCTCATTGGAAGAGGTTGATGATTGTTCTCCTTGGGTGGATGACTACAAGTATCCCCAAGCGGTCGTGTGCTATGAGAAGAACATCATCAAGACCACAACCCTCTCCACTGTCACCGGATCACTTGTTACTGTCACTGTTGCAACTCCTACCACCACAGTGACAATCACCAACACCATCACCAGCAGCTCGGTGATCCTTCCCTCGGATGTCTCCACTACACTGAGCTTCAGCACCACCTCAACCATCACCGAGACAACATTGGCTGCTGGTGAGACAAGCACGGTCACTTCCACTCATACTGTTCTAGCGGGCACAACTACCACGTCTTTCTACGCAGCCTGTGCGACAAACAACATCGCTGGAAATCCTCTCTCTTCCGACTTCGGCTCGGCGGCAGGCAAATTCATTTATTCGCTCGAGTTCACCCACGTCCCCGGCCAAAAATTAACCGTTGGTAACACCAATTCCGCATACGATTGCTGTGCCAGCTGTTTGGAAAGTTCGACATGTGCTATGTCATACTACTACGCGCCTTCGTCTGCTGTCAGATACTGCTATGTAATTGCAACAACCACATGCTCATTTGCTTCTACATATGGCACGGCTTATCTTCAGAGCGGTGTGACCGGTGTGCAAATCTCCAATGGAAACTGCGGACATGTGATAGGTTCAAATAGATATATATAGTTTAGCTTCAGAATTCATCGAGTATTTATACATCTTTTTGATCATAGTCTTTACATATGCGATGGCCAGTCCTCTCTATGGATGACTGTGCCCACGGTAGGCCAAAAGACCATTGCTTATGGGTGAAACTCGTAGGATTGGGACCAGATGAGCCCTGGAGATCTCGGGAAGTTCCGTGCGACTATACCTAGGTAGGCATGTGGGCACGTGCCCAGGTGGGTATAGCATATATTCAAGGTTGATATACAACTACCTGTAAGATGTTTTGCCGAGTTTGCCGCATATTCTAGTAGTTGATCAGGGCAAATCCGTGCATCAGGACGTTCAAAGTGGACGGAGAAGGACTGGCCCTCGAGGGATCGTCTTAAAGGGGTCCGTGCACTTGATACCTGAATCTTCAGGTCAATTCACGACCTGTTGCGGTCAAGCGGCTGGATCACATGGCTAAGCCCCTCTTATGATTAATTTCCAGGTACTAGAGGAATCCATCATTTTCTTCCCATCGCTTATACCCTAGAGCGTGGAATTCCTTTGAGCCAAAGGCAAGTCAAAAAAATGAATTCTCAACCTTGCCGCACATTGCGCATTGTGACCCCGGGGAAGAATCAAAGTGTTGGGAAAGGGCTCTTTCACATGCAAATCTTGAAGTGGGTCCAACTCGAATTCCATGTGATATTTGGCAGTATTTGTTGATCAGAGATGAAATAGCTTAGATCGGTGTAGAGAGAACGACCAGCGTAAACAATCGCATTTCATATCCAAATCAAAGAAACAGAAACAACCATAAAAAAACAAAAAAATAAAGGGTCAATGTGCAAGATGGACCAAATCCGGAGACACAATAGCCCCCGTTCCCGGAGAACCCCCACACGAACACGGGCTCTGGAACATCAATCGGTTTCCATTGGCACCTCGAAGCTCTTAGAAACTTAGAATCTCAACAACCCATTTTTCCTCTCTCTGCTCGAGATTCCAATGATCACAACCTTACAATCACATCTTTGTTTCCCACCCTATTAAGTGAACTTTGGTAGCGTTTGACCTGTATAGCGTGATTCTCATACCCTCCGTACCGAAGCAATGGCTATCCTCGACATCACCAAGGATTTGCCCACACTCTTTAAACGACAGGTGCAGGCAACCCCAGATGCCATCGCCCTGGAAGATGAGAACACGACATACACATATATCCAGCTGGATCAAGAAGTTGAGGCCCTTGCCAGTCGCCTACGGACCTATGGAGTGAGCCGTGACACTCTCGTGGGTGTGCTCCTACCTCGCAGCGCACACTACGTGATTGCTTGTCTGGCAGCGCTCCGTGCAGGCGGTGCCTTCCTTGTTCTCGAATTGGCTTACCCCGCGGACCTCTTGGCGGATGTTATTGAGGACGCTAGTCCCGCCGTAATTATCACACACAAGTCTGAGGCCGATAAAATCAAAGCGACTGTCCCGGTGATTGCCTTGGATGGAACCGTTATTGAAATCAATGGACACGCCAAGGAACCTTCTCCGTTGCCGGCAGATGACGATTTGGATCGCTTGGCGTTTGTGTCCTACTCGTCAGGAACAACTGGCAAGCCCAAGGGAATTGCCAATCCACACCGCGCCCCGGTACTATCATACGATCGGAGATTTGCAGTGCAGGATGTACAACCCGGTGATCGGGTGGCTTGCAATGTCTTCTTCATCTGGGAGATGTTGCGGCCGCTGCTGCGCGGAGCCACGGTGGTTATTGTGCCCGACGAAGCGAGCTATGACCCCGCGGCTCTGGTTGACCTGCTCTCGGCTAAGAAGGTTACAGAAACACTCATGACCCCCACTCTCCTGGCTACCGTTCTTTTACGCTATCCCCGGTTCGGTACTCGTGTGCCTGATTTGCGCATCGTTTGGCTGAACGGTGAGGTTGTGACAACCGATCTTGCTCGCAAGGCCATCAATATTCTTCCCAATGCCCGCCTACTCAACTGCTACAGTGCATGTGAAACCCATGAGATTGCCTGCGGCGATATCCGTGAAATGGTAGATGGCGACTCGATTTATTGTCCAGTTGGCCCATCGATCGTTCCTACACACACCTATGTTCTAAACGAGGAGGGACAGGAGGTAGAGATGGGAACATCGGGAGAACTCTTCATTGGAGGTCCTTTGTTGGCGCGGGAATACATTAACCTTCCCGAGACTACCGCCAAGGCTTTCGCTCCGGACATTTTTGATTCCACGCCTGGTGCTCGTATGTACAAGACGGGCGATCTCGCCCGCAAGCTGCCTTCTGGGTACCTCGAAATCACCGGCCGCGTCGGTGCAATGATCAAGCTACGTGGATATTCGGTAGTTCCGGCAAAGGTCGAAAGTGACATCTGCCAGTACCTGGCTGTCAGTCAGTGTGTTGTCACTGCATACGGTGATGGACTAGACCGACAACTGGTCGCCTACGTTGTTGCTGACAAGGAGGCATCCTCCAATCGCCCTTCGGTCGTGATAAACGAGTCCGGTCACTCCCCTAGCGCGCGTCGTGCCCTCGAGAATCGCCTTGCCCAGTACATGATCCCTGCTCTATGGGTTGCACTAGATCAGTTGCCTACCAACGAGGTCTCCGGGAAGGTTGACATGAAAAACCTCCCTTCACCTCGTAGCTCCAGTCCCAATGGCAGCGAGCAAAGCGCAGGAAAGGACCCGATTGGTCTCAACGACATTGCGGCAATATGGGAGGCTGTTCTGAAAGTCTCGAAGAGTTTGATCAAGGCCGAAGATAACTTCTTTGATCTGGGCGGACACTCTTTGTCTCTGGCAGATCTATCATCCAAGCTTTCTAGACGTTTCGGCTTCCGTGTTCCTATTCCTCGTCTCGCAGAGAACACTACTCTTTCCGGTCACTTGGGAACTGTGCGCGCTGTCAGAGATGGCCACGCTGAAGAAGTACAGGCAAATTTGCCGGCAGTCTTGCTTTCCGATGCCACACTGGACGAGGACATCAAGCCCATTAATACCGCGATCACTTCAATTGCTTCGGCCGACACGGTGCTTTTGACTGGTGTGACTGGTTTCCTGGGTGCTTTCCTGCTCAATGATTTGATAGAGAACACATCCGCTCGAATCATATGTCTTGTGCGTTTCAGCGACCCGGAGCAGGATGATCAAGCCGGAGGTGTGGCTCGAATCCGTAGGAACCTCCTAGATATGGGACTCTGGCGCGATTCTATTCTGGAGCGTCTCGAAATTCTACCAGGAAACCTTTCTCGGCCTCGACTGGGTCTGAGTTTAGATGAATTTGAGAACATCGCGGCTCGTGTCCAGGTGATTGTGCATGCTGCAGCCACTGTCAACCTTGTTTACCCCTACGCTGCACTTAGGGGAGCAAATGTGGGTGGAACCCGAGAGATTCTTCGTCTGGCCGCCAAGGGTGGCGCGACCGTGCAGTACATCTCTACCAATGGTGTTTTGCCACCATCAGGTGAGAAAGGCTGGCCCGAAACTACCATACTAGATGTAGAAGATGTCCCCAAAAGGCTACTAGATGGCTATGGTCAGACAAAGTGGGTTGCAGAGCAGCTCGTTCTTAAGGCTGGCGAGCGTGGATTGCCAGTCAAGATTCACCGTTGTGGTACCATCAGTGGTCACAGTGAGACAGGCTCTGCCAATGCGTGGGATTTGCTCACTGCATTGATTGTGGAATCCATCCAGCTTGGATACGCTCCAGACGTGGAAGGATGGCGTGCTGAGATGACCCCAGTGAACTTTGTCAGCAAATCCATTATCCATCTTGCTACTCAGACCCAGACAGACCAAACTGTGTTCCATCTCGGAGATCCCACGCCGGTCGATACTCGATCAGTTTTTGAGAATCTCAAACAGCTTGGTTATGAGACACACCCTCTCCCATGGGATGAGTGGGTGGCCCTGTGGTTCGAGAAGAGAGGCCCAGCCAAGGGTGGTGATGGTTCGTTTACTGTGGACATTCTTCGCAGTGGTATGCCCACTGTCAAGTTCCTCCGAGACATCGTCGTCCTTGATAATGCTTTGACCAGACCTTTCCGGGCCGTTATCGAGCGTCCCAAGGTGGACAGCCTGTTACTGGAGACCTACACTCGGCATTGGTTCGCTCGAGGCTGGCTACCCCGGCCCCCATCTCGTCAAAATGCCCCAAACCGACCAACCGGGGTTTCAGTGACGGGGCCACTCAGCGGCCAGGTCGCCGTGGTGACTGGTGCTTCTTCGGGCATCGGTGCGGCGGTAGCAGCCGCCCTAGCCAAGAAGGGCTGTGCTGTCGCCCTTGGCGCCCGACGCCTGGATGCTCTTGAGAGCACCAAGCGCAAGGTCGAGGCTCACGGCGTGAAGTGTATCCTCCGATCAACCGACGTCACAAGCAAGACTCAGATGGAAGCTCTCGTCCAAGCAGCAAGTGAGGAGCTCGGTCCAGTCGACATCTTGGTTGCATGCGCTGGTGTCATGTACTTCACCATGATGGCAAACACCCAGATGGACGAGTGGGAGCGCACAGTCGACGTCAACTGCAAGGGTCTCTTGCACGCTCTCTCTTCAACAGTTCCCGGCATGCTCTCGCGCGGCCGCGGCCATGTCGTGGCCATCTCCTCTGATGCCGGACGTAAGGTCTTCCCTGGTCTCGGTGTGTACTCAGCCAGCAAGTTCTTCGTCGAGGCCACCCTCCAAGCCCTCCGTCTTGAGACCGCAGGTGCTGGCTTGCGTGTTACGAGTATCCAGCCCGGAAATACTTCCACGGATCTTCTGAGCATGTCGACGGATGCTGAAGCCATCAAGAAATTTGGAGAGCCATCCGGAGCGAAGATCCTCGATCCTTCTGATGTTGCTAACTCCATTGTTTACGCCCTGACCCAACCTGAGCATGTCTCTGTCAATGAGATCCTTGTTGAGCCTCGTGATGAGCCGATTTAAGCGGTATCGGTCATTTGCCCCGTTTTTTTTCCGGGGTTTTGAGGGTGTTGCTGTGAAATCCTTGCTGCTTGCTAGTTGTGATCTAGGAGTTTTGATTTTCTTCACACAAAAATTGAGGGCCACATAGAGGTAGAAGAGATATATTACATAGAGTCCTGAACGCTTGATATCCACACACGCTTTCCCCATGCAACATAAACCCATCTGCTCTCATTTTACAGACTGGTCTGCAAGTAACCGCAACAACCGGGGCATTTCTTTGCCAATGGCTAGGATACAAGTCAATTGTGCCTTTTTTTCCTTTGTCGCCTTTTTTTTTTAATAATGCTTGGATTGAGATGTTCTGCCACTTGAGGATTTCCGAGCTGCCAACTACGCTGGCGGTTCTAGTTGCCTATTTGGGAAGTGGGTCCTGGTACGCCCAAAAGGCAATCGGGTGGCTGCGAAGGTGTCCTCAGGGGCCATTTTTAAATTGTCAGGGGGATTGATGCCTTAATGTTCCTATGAATACCTTGCTTTCGACCGCTCTCGACCGCTCTCGACCGCTCATTACCGCTTATAACCGTGCATTGTAAATTGAACGTTGAATCAATTTCCACTCACTATGCGGAGCACGGAGTTCAAATCTGCTAAATAAAAGGCGGTGAGGCTCTCCCCGCGCACATGCCCCTTTTCATTGATTTTGCAGCTATTCGCACCATACAAAGCTCTATTTTAACCTAAAACCTGGCGTTGATGGCCCTCTCGAGTGTGAAATCCATCGATGATCCTAGCCATCTACACAGTAGGAATAGCTTAAAGATCTCATCTTCAATAAATTCCCCAAAATCTGGAGATTCGTACTTCTATGTTGCATGAAAAGCTTCACTCGAGGAGGCGTTCTGGCAGAATAATTCAGGCATCCTCATTTCCGGCCTAAAACAAGTCAGCCACAGGAAAATTAAGACCCCTGACAATTCAAAATGGCCCCTGAGGACACCTTCGCAAGTGGCAGCTCAACTTTGGCCGGAACCTTGGAAATCCTCCATTCATCTCTCGATCTAGTCTAGCATTGCACTTGAATCTTCTCCAACAAACTACGTTGTAACAATTAGAACGATATCGTGGAGAAACGATACCGTGACATCCGTCCACATGTTATATGTAAAAAAATAAAAAAATGAGCTGGGGTCCGCGATGTACTATCGCCGACTCGAGCTCATTGCCAGGGCACTTCAGTACGGATAATCAAGCATCTTTGTGCGACTAAGGCGCGGCTGATGTGCGAAATCCTACATTCCCTTGATCTACAGCGATACATAGAGGTTGATGTTGTAATGTGTAAGTAGTCACATTGAAAATGCATATTCTCTTCGTTACTGCTCCTTCTGCATTTCATCATTTCATAAATTCCAAGTCGTACAATCTAAACCTCCTTGGTTCCGATCTCATCCCCAGACTCATCGTCACTGCTACTAACGCTAACTGTATCACAAGTGGGATGCATCGACAGCGGATGCAACCCCTTATGTCGAATATGTGAACGCGGTGTAATAGCCACTGGAGTATTCTCGTCAACAAAAGAGCGTTCCGACTGGTCATCACCAAACTGTTTTGAGAAAACTTCCTCAACTCCCTCAAGAGAACGACCCGCAGTCTCCGAATAAAAGGCCCAAACAACAATCATCGCCACCCAATTGAAACCTGCAAAACAGTAGAAATATTTGGGCCCGATGTTCATCAGTGCAATAGGCGAACACTGCGTGAAGATTAGACTCACACTCCAGTGCGTGGCGGTCGCCATGGCCGAGCCGCGCGCTCGAATAGGCGTGGGGAAGATCTCACACTGGTAAACCCAGGAGATCATGCCAACAGCCGTGAAGAAGAACGAGAAGACAAAGAACATGGCGATGGCAGCTTGCAGAACATGTGGGTTGGCGTTGGGGTCGCTGAAATTTATGTACCGCGCGAGCGTGGCTTCGATGCACAGAGCTGCTCCCATGCCGAGCAGGGATGAGATGAGCAGCTTCCGGCGCCCGACTTTGTCGATGAGAAGCATGAAAACAATATCCCAAAACAGCGCTAGCGCGCCCCATAATCCGATTATCATGAGGCATGTTGATGTTGGAAGGCCGAGCGTTTTGAAGAGTCGTGGGCCGTAATATGAGATTACGTTTGTGCCTGAGCACAGGGTGAAGACTTGCAGACCGCAAGCTAGAAGGATCCTGCGTCGCCAGCGCGGGGAGAGGAGAAGTTGGCGCCAGGATCGAATGGCTGATTGCTTTTCGGATACTAGGCTCTGTTGAATTTGGAAGAGCTCATGTTCGAGTAGTGAGGTGTTGGTTGCGCTTTTGTTGAGATGGAGTCGGGCGAGGACTGCGCAGCCTTCTTCCTCTCTACCCTTTTCTATGAGCCATCTTGGCGATTCAGGAAGGAGCCAGACGCCACAGATAAGAAAAATGGCTGGCCCGGCTTGAAAGGAAAGTGGAAAGCGCCACGAGAAGGCTCCACCTTGACGGGAACACTCATATCCCACCCATTGCTTGAAACCCGTCAGTTGGAACATAGCGAAACCCCGGCGGCGGTTACTCACAGCAACCACGAACCCTAAGCCAATCATCCAATGTTGAATACTAGCTAACATCCCCCGGATCTGTGGCGGGGCAACCTCACTCTGGGTTCACGTCAGATGAAGCTTAGTTGCTGGACCGTGTGTCAACCTACACAATAAACGGGAATAGTGGCAGACATCTGCCCAATTGCTAGACCCGCAATGCACCGACCAGCGATCAGCATCGCGATATTGACCGCACCTCCCTGGAGCCCAGCACCCAGAGTGGCAAAAAGACCGCCAATGAGGAGGATCATTCTGCGGCCATAAAAATCCGAAATAGACGGGGCGAAGACCGAGCCCACGATTGCGCCTCCTGGTCACTAACATTAGATCCCGATCGCGGCAAGATCCGACGACGATAGATTCTCACCGAGATATGACGAAAGAATGCTGCCCGTGGCGGCGCCAGACAGAGTTGGAGACCCAAATTGGCGCAGAAAAGCCTCCTGCTCGATGCTGGAAGAAATTATGCCCGAATCAAATCCGAACAGGAATGATCCCAGAGCGGCAAAGGCGCAGCAGAAGGTGGCGAGGTAGAAAGTCATTCTTTGTCTCGCCTAGCTCCATAGCCTATGAAAATTGGAATCGGAGGTCGAGGCTATCAATATAAAGCCAAGCTAGAGAAAGTCGCGTTGGCGTTGTTATACATGCCGATCCACCTTCGGGAAAGTGGGACGTGCCGTAGGGGCTACTTGCGAATGGAATGCCATGCGGGATGCGAGGGATCTTCAGGACCGTTTCCAGGCTTAACTGGCTAGAGCGGAATAGTCAAGAGGCTTATTAATAGCTCAAAACAATTATGACGCAGTTAACTTGGCAACGTTTTGTCCTTCGTACTTCAACGGTTATTGATGAGGCACATCGGGAACTCGAACTTCGGGGCCCGATCAGAATGGATTCTGTATAGGGCAATAGGTTATCTCGATGTTTGCATTCCTCGAATCTCGCGTCACAGGGCTGTCAAGCATTCTGACGCATGCTGCCTTGTTTCAACGACCCCCTCTGTATGGCCAACCCCTTCATGATGACAGCGCAAGGGCGTTCAATGGTCCAGGACTGTATGTTTTGCTCTATACTTCTCACTTCGTACTTCGCACTTCTGATTTTGTTTAATGTAAATTGCAAATTATCTCGCAAAGTTTCTATTCCAGGGTCCAGAATAGAAACCTACTGTTATAGTGATGTGATGTCATAGTATTAAAAAATGCAATTGAGGAAGATATTACTATTTCTGTCCAAGTGATTACCTTTTTCTGTGCCGGGATGCTCCGTACATCATAGTCCTCCGTGCTCCTTATGCAAGAAGAACCGTGGACTAATATAGATTAATCAACCTGGCTGGTATGAGCTTGATACGGAGTACTCCGTATAAGGTCCACCTAGGCAAGGAGACCCCATTAATAAGATTCCACACGAGGCTGCAGTTCAATTTCCAACCCAAACATTAGACATCACATGCGGAGTTCATATGGATGCTTGAACTTGTCTTTTCTTCATTTTCCAAGAGAGATTCAAAATTCGGTAGTCCACACGGAGTAGAAGTCGGCGAAATGACCGGGTCTAGACAAATCGGGCAGTGGGGACGGGGCTAAAGCCTTAACAGCGAGCTTTTTCTACTTCTTATTGGATATGAAAATGAAATTGTCGAAATCCCTGAAAATCTCCCAAAAATGCCTCAGTCAAAAGGGAAAATTCTGGAAAAAGCCGCACCAACACGGAACTTTATGTATCGGCGTCGCGCATGTTGAAGCCCCGATATCCACCTGAGTACCCAGTCTTAAGCCGTATGACTCTTCCTGACTAAATCTGAACTTGTTTGATGATGAACTTGATCGTTCTTTTTTCTCCAAAGCTACTCCATACGAAGACATACGTTGTTCTTTGGACCTTGATACCCGAGACTTTTGATATTCAACACACCGCCCTCGGGAATAATCATTTCATCATCGTCGATTTCCCCTCAAGATCCTCAATAAGATCCTAAGATCCTACGATCTCAAAATTTCCCTCGGACCTTTCAACTAGTATTCCAAATTCTACTTTCCCCCCTCCCCCCAAAGTGGGAATTCCAATCGAACACTGTCAGACTTTGCACAAGTCTCCACTAACTTTTTCCTATTTGATTCTGCTCATCTTGCAACTGCGAAATAGGGCGATCCATATCATCTGGTGAAATAGTGAAATTCACCTCGGATCGCCCGCCAAGACTACCATTCGTTTTTACATGACTCCGTGCATTTTACGAACCTCAGATATCCAGTCATGGCGACTACGACGAGCCCTGTTTCTGGCGAGAATGAAGAGGATCCCGCGCCCATGAACTTCAAGTATTCGCATGATGGCGATCATCACAGTCCTACCCATGACATTTCCTCCACCACAGATCCCAAATCATTACCTGCGCAGAAGAGGCGACGGGTCGGCCGCGCTTGCGACGAGTGTCGCAGAAAAAAAATTAAGTGCGATGGCAAACAGCCATGCACTCATTGCACAGTCTATAGTTATGGTACGCAGAGTCCTATGCAGTTAATCTCGCTTGAAAAAAAAAAGACATGCGCCCTAACAGCCGCTCTATAGAGTGTTCATACGACCAACCCTCCAACCGCCGTCGAAATCCCGCCCCGCAATATGTCGAGGCCCTTGAGAATCGGCTCCAAAAAGCCGAAGCGCTCCTTCGAGTCGTTCTTCCAAATGTCGATCTCGATGATCCGCAACTAGATGTGCATGCGACAGAACAAAAATTCACAGCCGCCCAAAAACCAAATCAAGCGACCGAAGATGCCAAACCCTCGAGTGTACAAGAGACGGCGCAAGAAGGAGCAGATGAGGGACTACTTGAAACCATGGTCGATAATTCGGGCTGCTTAGATCGGGATGACCAGGGCTATTGGGATTATCACGGGCACACCTCGGGCGTTCTCTTTGTTCGCCGATTGCGCAAACAGTTGGGCGCAGCAGATATCTCGAGCCCCATGGCACGGTCGCGCCCCTCGATAACCGCGCATATGCTAGATAGTCCAAAGTCTATGTCCGAGTCGCCTCAAGACACCACATTACCTCCTACACATGATCTGCCTCCACGAGAGGTTGCTCGCCGCTTGTGTCACAATGCCATCGACCATGCCTGCTCCTTGATGAAATTTGTACACATACCCTCCTTTTTCGCAAGTCTGGAGCGCATTTACGATACTCCCCCAGAACAATTCACAAACCAAGAGAACGCCTTCTTGCCGCTTTTATATATCGTCATTGCCGTTGGCTGCTTGTTCTCGGACAATGAATCCGGACAGGGTACCCTGGACTTGTCTGGCTACGAAGGCGCCATAGGCCAAGGGTAAGTCCTAGTAAAGCCGGCTTGATCTTTGGCACCGACTAATTTCCTTGACAGGTTCCAATTCTTCAAGGCCGGTCGACAACTGCTGGAGATCACCGACTGCCGTGACTTGGTTTCTCTCCAGGCAATCTGTTTTATGGCTCTCTTCCTTCAATCCTCCGCTAAGCTGAGCACATGCTACTCATATGTGGGGATTGCACTTCGTTCGGCACTGCGATTAGGTCTCCATCGTTCTGTTGCGGCCGACTTTAACCCCCTTGAACGAGAGCTTCGAAAGCGCATCTTCTGGGTCATTCGCAAGATGGACATCTACGTGAGCACCCTGTTAGGTCTTCCCCAGATGCTGAGTGACGATGATATCGATCAAGAGTACCCTATGGAGGTTGATGGTGATTACATCACCACGGAAGGAATTACTCAACCTCCGTCTAATTATACCCCGCTGATGGCTGGATGCAATGCACACACTCGCCTTTCCAACATTATTCTGAAGGTGGTGAAATATATCTACCCAGTCAAACATGCTCGCTATCGCTCTAAGTCAGACCAGCGATACATGGTCAGCCACTCCAAAATTCGGGAGATCGAGCGAGATCTGCAAAACTGGATGGAGGAATTGCCTCCTGCTCTGCGACCAGGTACAGAAGTGTCACCACAGCTAGAACGGTAAGTCTCATGTCTGCAGTGATGATCTATTGAATCGATTTGACTAACATCTAACCAGTGTCCGGCAATTGCTGCGTATAAGCTATGCCCACGTGCAGATGGTGATGTACCGCCCATTCCTCCACTACGTCTCTGGTGGTTCTCAAGCGCGTGGTGTGGATAAGCGGTCGTATGCCTGTGCAGCTGCCTGCGTCAGCGTTTCCCGAAACATTGTTCACATCACGACCGGAATGCAAAAGAGAGGACTGCTCAATGGATCCTTCTGGTTCACCATGTACACGACCTATTTCGCCATCCTCTCCTTGATCTTCTTCGTGCTCGAGAACCCGGATTCACCTACAGCCAAAGATGGCGTTCTGAAAGATGCCATGGAGGGCAAGAATACCCTAGCCGGATTGGCTAAGAAGAGTCTTGCTGCTGACCGGTGTTCTCAGAGCTTGAACGTAAATTCTCATTTCTTCCATTTGGAACGGCATTGACTAATTACATTGCAGTGCCTTTTCAAGACGTTGCCGGAGATGTTGAAAAATCGCCAGAGTTCAAAGACTCCTGTCAATCTCAAGCGACCCGCGCCTTCCAACACCGCCGAGCCTGAGGCGAAGCCTTCCTTCGACAAAAAGCTGCCACTTCGATCAAGCACTTTCCCGGTGCAGATGATGTCTCAGACAGCTGTTTATGATGATCAGAATCGCCGACAGCGAAGTCTGGACAACATCCAACCTGTCGGCAATCGCTCTACTGACGTTAATCACCAGTCCACGTGGGTATCGAATACCCCCGAGCTGCTGACGGAGACCATGACCACCCCGGAGCATGTTTCCTCATCAAGCATGACGCCATCTATGCCCACTCAAGAGCCATCAAGTCTAGCGTGGGCTCAACAATTCACCAATCCGTCCAATCTCCCAGACCTCATGCCAATGATGTTCCCATCAGACGATCCATTCGCATACCCAACACAACCCATGTCCACCCTGGAAGACGATCACTTCCGGCACGACCGGACAGGCATGCCATCGCAGTATTCCTTCGATTCAGCACCAGCCATGGGGCCCGCCACACCAGGCGACCCCTCCAGCGCAGCGGTCTCCACTCCAACCTTTGACTTCACAAACAAGCCGAATTATCCCATCACAAATACCCCAACGATCAAGTCATCCGTACCTAGCCACCTCCGCCCCTCTCACTCCCGATCTTCATCCCGCGTCCACTCCCCAATCTCGCAGAGCCATACTCCATCAGACGTGATCAGCAGTCCAGACCTGGTCTCAATCCCGAACCTGAATTTCATCTGGCAGGGATACAATTTCCAGCTCAACAATCCAAGTGACATCGGAACCGAGTCCGCACCACAACACCCCGAACTGCACGGTCCAAATGGACTGCCTGATTTCGGCGTAGGCATGGATGGGAATTTGGGCATGAACATGGATCTGGGAATCTCATTTGATGATCTGTTTGGCAATAACGCCGCCTACCGACCGACCAACGGGGCCTCTGCTGAGGATTGGGCCCAGTGGATGAACGCTAATAGCGCATGACCTTGGTCTGGTTTGCTATATTTCTCTTCTCTGCTTTTTTTTACGATGATATGCTATCATGAAAGCCAAAATCTTGGTGTTAAAACAGTTGATACCTGGTTGGGGTTAGGAGTCTTCTTTTGCACTTAGCTACATACATAAATGGATACCGTATTTATTTATAAACTGGAATCAATGTCGAGAGTGAGGTACATGTGCGAATTGGGCAGAAGGGTTGCCTCTGCTTGGCAGAGTTGAACAAAGTACTGCCTTGAAGCCTTTTCCGATCGCCTCTGCAGATGCCTACACTTTCGTTCGATCCTGCAGACTCGCATCTCAAAAAGTGGACCTCGTTTCGGAGTGTTTTCAGAATTCTTGAAATCTGCATGGAAAGTAATCCCCAATGTTTCAATCACACTCTATTCCTCCCACGATTCAATTCTACCTCGAAGAATTCGGTTCCAAACTTGCCAGTGTAAACCCCGAGGAAGCCTCATCGGAACAGACTTTTTTTTCTTCTTGTTCATTGGCAGACTTCCCAAGAGCAACAGCGGGGAATTTCACCCCTTCACGGGCGATGATCGCCCTAGGCACCTTACAATTGGATGAGTATAACAAAATCCGAGATATCTTGATGACGTGGCGATTGTGGAAGATGTCAAGATACACCGAGAGGTGGAGGTATAGGCGGTTCTCAATTAATGAGATCCGGGACAAGACTTGAGAGGATCTCGAGTGATTGTCACATTATACGGCCCTCGTGGCCATGGGTTCTGTGCACCATGGAACTCATTTGACTCTATGTTGTACTGCATTGCAATATATCTAGCAGCCCTGTCTGATTCTACAAGTCCGAGGAGGGTGAGCACTACGCGAGCACTGTCCACAGAATGTTCTGTGATTTCACAGTGATCAAAGCAGCTCAACGTCATTACTCGCTGGCAACTGGCCAAACAGATAATACCAACATCCCGACAGAACTACTTGCATGTTGCTGAAAGCTTTCCGTGGACCCTTGACGTGGGAAATAGACACCTTGTCCCAGCTAGGTGGGACTTACCCCTTTTCAAACTGCCTATTTCTCTTCAGCCGTGCTCTAAATTCATGGACATGTTCCCTTAGTTCCATGGAGAATGTTGCCATTTTAGGGAAATTAAAAGAGGTAGAGCTATGCGGCGGCTTCCGGTGACATGTATAGTGTGCCGTCTAACCAGGCAGGGCTAGTTCCGGTGTAGCTAACCATTTAGGGCAGGTTAGTATTTCTGATGTCTGCTACCGATATACACCTTTCCCCCCCCCCCTGATCCGAAAACAGCCGAAATTGTCAGCAATGCAGTGAGAATGATGAAGGCATCCAAGGTGCCCAGGGTGGCCTTGGGGACACAAGATATGGCCACCGCTAACATGGTGGTTGCGACGGCCTTGTCCAATCCCATCATGGTGAGTGATGGTTCTTATTATCGGCGCTTTGTTCTTGTACACCTCTGCAGGTTGGTATAGAGCGGAGATAAAGCCACGTTCATGCTGGCCATTGCGCCCAAGGTCCAGGCTGTGATCGAGGATACGTCGCGGGGCTTATCGAGAATGGACCTCGAGAAATGGTGAGCCATCTATCGTGTGCGCACGTGGATAGTTAATCTGGCTTCGTGGATCTGTTTTGCGGTTGTAATGTCAATTGTTGAGTGAAGCTTCCAAAAGGGCAGAATTAAAGAAATTGAACATAAACCGACTTGCATACAAATCAGCAAATCGAACCAGTATGTTAGCACAGAACAAGTTGCTCCGGCATCCACCTCGCACCTACAAGACTCGACTTTCCAAAGATGTCCCTATGTTTGTATCTAGCTGCATATATAGCTATGTTACCAAGTGATATTCAGTCCGTAACTGATACGATATGAACACTACCAAGAGACATGTGAATCATGTCTTGCCAATGAAGTTACACTCCTTTTAGCTTCGGGTTAGCCCACAATCTGTTAGACCCACACGCTTCGACATTTCCACCTCAACGTTGAGAACCTCTCCTTCGCAAGATGGCCCTGCCCTACAACGCTCTTTCTTGATCATATTACTCCTCCGTGCCTATGGGCCCTCGTCTCTACCTAGAGACGGATCAACTATAGCATCCGCAAACCACCACCCGGTCGCATGGAGAGCTACCAGTCCAAATCTCCCCTTGTACATTTACTTGGCCTACTTAATCGCCGTGACTAGTTATAGTCAATCCAATGGCATCACTTCCAAAGCTTTCCACCGTTTTTACCTGGGCTCTCTACTTGATCCCACTGTATCTCTTCATCCTCGACCCGCTAGTGCGCGGATACTTCCCGGGCCTGCTAGCACCACGCGGGGAAAATGACGACCTTTTTGACGAGTCCAGCGCACCAGGACCAGGCATCAACCTCACCGATGACAGCTTCATCAGCCCCGAAGATGGCGTACCATTCAGCTGCCCCAGTGTAGAGGGATACCGCGTTCATATCCTCTCGCGCGAACCGCTGGTCGTATATATCGAGAATTTCATCTCCGAAACCGAAGCGAACCACATCCTGGACATGAGGTAAACCATCGATCTCACTCACAACCAATCCCCAGACACACGGATATGCATAACACATGCAGAAAAACCGCAGACCAAGCTAACCGGACAAACCTCCGCCGAACTCCAGCGTGAATAAATACACCCCCTCAATCGTCTACGACGGCCAAACCGAACGAGTAGACCCAACGAAACGCCTCTCCGACCGCGCCCTTCTCGACCGCGACGACACAATCCGCTGTTTGGAAGACCGCGCCCGTGCCTTCCAGGGCTGGCGTCCGGACCTGTATATCGAGCGCATGTGGGCGCAGCGCTACAATACCTCCGGGCACTACCGCCACCACTATGACTGGGCCGGGTCGCTGGCACGGGGCGGAGACCGGTTCAGCACATTTATGGTATATCTTGATGCGAATTGTGAGGGTGGGGGGACGAATTTTCCACGATTGAGGATGCCGGATGGGGAGGGGTGGTGCCGGTTCCTGGAATGTGAGCCGCGGGATGGGGTAGATAGGAAGGGGAAGAGGGAGGAGATGGGGATCACATTCAAGCCTATTAAGGGTAATGCTGTGTTTTGGGAGAATCTTCGGCCGGATGGGACAGGATATCCGGAGACTTGGCACGCTGCGTTCCCTGTCACAAAGGGGACAAAGGTTGGCTTGAATGTTTGGAGTTGGTACCAGCCAAAGCGGAGGAACCGCTTGGGAAGGTAAGTTGGCATTTGCAGAGCATGAGGAGAAGACGTGCACGTGGGTGATTTTGGGTTCGGCTGGCTACGCCACTGGCCAAGCCATGTTCCAAGGAGTATCTGGAATGCCTGGACCAGTTGTGAAGATAACAGGATTGGTCAGTTTATATTTTTTGTATATCAGGGGTGGTTACATATGTCCCAAGGTCAGACCGAGATGGTCCAGATATGGAATAGAAATAGACAAAAACACGAGATCATAGCAAGTTGAACATGAATCGTTACATATAAATACCTCCGGCTCCAAGTCACCCCGGGATCCGAAACCAACCGACTTATGCATGCCGCTCGTAACAAGGGCACTAGGCAGCTGGATTAATCAGAGGACTTGTCACACCTGACAAAATTCATACGAAAGAGATGTGACATCGGTCATACCAAGACCTTAAGAGTTGACTCTTGGTCGTCGGAGCGGGAATTATTGGCAAGAGGAATCACTTGGCTGCCAAGAAGCATTGCCCCTAGATGTTTCTTGGAAGGTTGGCTTGGCGAAATCAACGCGCCACTCCTTGTTTTCTTCTTAGCTTGATTTACTTTTTCGAAGTTGGATCATTAAAAGGCCGTAACATGTGCGCTGTTCTCAACTGAATGTTAAATTTGTCTTGCGTGTACGGCGTGTTGGCACTAACCTGATTAAGGATAAACGGAAGCACGGAGTACTTTAATCGCTTACAAGGCCAGTTATGTACGGAGATCAGCCGTCTATATAAAAAAAAAACCTTGAAATATAATAAAATACAAAATGTACGGAGCAGTTCGTACCGTACTGTACCCTACTGTGCTACGTGTTAGCCCTGGAATGCTCTCACACACAGCCCCTCGTTCCCCCCTCGGTCCACCAGTCAAATGTCATGGCACCAACGCCTCTCGGTTTTTGGGGCCCGCACCGACTCTTGGCCCGGTCTTGGTCTTCTGGTTCTCTCCTTGTCCTTCCGCCAGGCTTAGCAAAGCGGTATTTTCTGGGCAAAGGCTCGGCTCCTTTTCCTCTTCTGCGGAGAAACCCCCATTTTCTCTCTCACCCTTCCCCCCCCCTTTCCTTCCTCGCATTGTATACATATAGGGTGTTTCTTCTCTATAGTTTGATCTTCTTAGTTTGCTTTGTTTTGTTTTTTTTTTGGCTCTCTAGGCATTCCGCCAATTCCAGACCAAGCTTCTTGGCATCATGACGGAGAACCATACCCCTTCTACGACGCAGGCGACGTTGCCTGCGCCTGTTGCTGAACCAGCGCCGATCCAGGCAACTCCGACTCCTTCCGCCTCAGTCACAGCGACTGCTGTCGCCGCAACTGCGGCGGTGAACAACCCTTCCATGAATGGCGCCGGTGAGCTACTGCCTTGCCAGTGGGTTGGATGCACTGAGAAGTCTCCCACTGCCGAGTCTCTATATGTAAGCTTGATTAATCAATCATAAAAAATGCAAAGAGCATACTAATAATGACGGTATAGGAGCATGTTTGTGAGCGTCACGTTGGGCGTAAAAGCACCAACAACCTCAACCTGACCTGCCAGTGGGGCACTTGCAACACCACAACAGTCAAGCGTGATCACATCACCTCCCACATTCGCGTTCATGTGCCACTTAAACCTCACAAATGTGACTTCTGCGGCAAGGCTTTCAAGCGCCCGCAGGATTTGAAGAAGCATGTCAAGACCCATGCGGACGACTCCGAGATTCGCTCCCCCGAACCGAGCATGAAGCATCCTGACATGATGTTCCCCCAAAACCCTAAGGGTTATGCTGCTGCAACACATTACTTCGAGAGCCCGATCAACGGGATCAATGGTCAATATTCACATGCGCCACCTCCTCAGTATTACCAACCGCACCCCCAACCTCAGGCAGCCACCAACCCGCACTCCTACGGCAATGTGTACTATGCCTTGAGCCAAGGACAAGAGGGAGGTCACCCTTATGACCGTAAGCGAGGATATGACGCGTTGAACGAGTTTTTTGGCGACTTGAAGCGCCGCCAGTTCGACCCCAATTCCTACGCCGCGGTCGGCCAGCGTCTGCTTGGTCTGCAGGCCCTTCAGCTTCCCTTCCTCAGTGGCCCTGTGCCTGAATATCAGCAAATGCCTGCGTCGGTTGCGGTCGGCGGCGGTGGGTACAGCCCTGGTGGCTCTCAACCTCCCGGTTATCACCTTCCCCCCATGTCAAATGTCCGAACTAAGAACGATCTGATCAACATCGATCAGTTCCTCGAGCAAATGCAGAATACTATCTACGAGAGCGATGAGAATGTGGCGGCTGCCGGCGTTGCCCAACCTGGCGCGCATTACGTGCATGGTGGCATGAACTATCGCGCCACCCACTCCCCACCAATCCAGCTTCCGCCAAGCCACATGACCGCAACCACCTCAGCCCCCATGGGGGCTGCTTCGGCCCATTCGCCATCGGTCGGTACCCCAGCTCTGAGCCCGCCTTCTAGCGCACAGTCATACACCTCCAACCGCTCTCCTATCTCCATGCACCACGCTCACCGCGTGTCCCCCCCTCACGAGAGCGGCCCGGGGATGTACCCTCGCTTGCCATCGGCCACTGTCGCCGACAGCATGTCTGCAGGCTATCCGAACACCTCAGGTGCCGCGCCACCCTCTACTCTGAGCGTTGCGTATGACCACGACGATCGTCGCCGCTACACGGGTGGTACTCTGCAACGCGCCCGGCCAGCCGAGCGTGCTTCCCCCGAGGACCGCATGGACATCTCCCATGATAGCAAGTATGACGGCGAACGCACTCCCACCAAGGCCGCCTTGCATATCTCGGAGAGTCTGATTGACCCCGCTCTGTCGGGGACCTCGTCGGATCCCGATCAGGAGGCAGCCAAGCGCACTGCGCAAGCAGCCACTGAAGTCGCCGAGCGGGATGTCAACGTTGCCTGGGTTGAAAAGGTCCGTCTGCTTGAGAACCTGCGCCGCTTGGTTTCTGAATTGCTTGAAGCCGGTACTGCTGAATATGATGCGCACACCTCGTCGGCTTCTCCAACTCCAGGACTTGATGCCATGGAAGGAGTCGAGAACACCAAAGAACGCGCTGCTTCTGAGCAGCTTAGGGAAGAGCCCAAGTCTGCAAGCGAGGGGGTCTTTTATCCCACATTACGTGGTGTGGATGAAGACGAGGATGGGGACTCGAAAATGCCTGAGTAAAGTCTTCATATCTTGCTGCCTTTGGCTGTAGCTTGATTTACGCCGTAACGACATGTGTTTAATTGCCTCTTCTGCGCTACACCCCCCTTTTCTACAAGGTCTTCTTTGTTCTTTTTAAGGCTCTCATGTTTGCTTGTTTGTTTTTTTCTTCTTCTTTCAATGGAGGCCTTTTCTTTCTGCTTCTTTTCAGGTCCTTTCATCTCAAGTTAGTTTTCTTATTTGTATGACTATCAGGACTCCCTGGAGCCAGTTGAATTCGCTTATTTCCGTAAAGTGATGTTTGCGTCTTGGATCCCTTTCTGTAGAATGGAAGAGTGAATGCGATGTTACCTATGCCCTCTCGATCGACATGTCAAACCCAAAGAGGCAAAGCAACATTCCAGGCTATCCCAGATCCGGGATGTGACGCAAACGGGCAGATCTCATTTTGATCAAATCTGGGGATCGATGGAGGCACATGTGTGAAGAAAACTCAGAATTACATTTATAGTAATTTAGGTGTTGTTAAGGGCTATGTGCATAGTAAGAGCAATGGAGAGAAAAGAAATAGGATAAACCGTTACCTACATATGTACATGTAAGGATAGGACAGAACATATGTACCGGATAATGCCTGGCACTCGAGACCTTTCCCTTTCCGTTTTAGTGCTCACCCCTTGCCGCTTTTTGATCACTGAGTAAAACTGAGCACGTCCCTGAGTATCATGACTTGATCACGGGACATTACATAATCAACTGATCTGCTCACTGAGCATCACCTGATTATCCCGTGAGCACCCTGATCCACTCACTGATCATCATCTGAGCACTCTGATTTGATCACTGAGTGCTCACTGAGTGTAGGGATGAGCGGGCTGAGTAAGCAGCATCAATAAAATGCGACACGCTAATCCCATCACGTGCAACCCTTCCTATTTAGATCGCCCATCAAAAAAGGACTGGCGCAATCATCGTGACCGTTCGTTCTAGCGGTCTCGATTCTATCCAAGTAAAAAGCCTCACAGTGGGGCTATACAACCGACCTATTATTTTCCTATTTCAGCCTATGCTCCTGGGAATACCCCTCGGGATACTTCGCTTACCAGCCCGGCGATCCCCTAATCGGGCTTTGGATTACTACTAGGGCGAGGGCGATTGGATGGATTTTCTTGAAGAATTAGAACCCTTCCATGTATCAAGCCAACTGGAGGAATCGGTATTCAGCAGGTGACGATGATGAACCACTTCTCCCTCCAATGAGCGCACAAGCCGAAGGCTTTCCTGAGCGTATAACATCATGTCTTTCGCGCCATTGCTACGTAATCCGTAAGCCGAAACAATCAATAGTAATACCCCGATGGGCTCCTGGGAGCCCGCGGGGCGTTCCCAGGAGCCTATTAAGCTGTTTTAAGGGCCCATAGCTATTTCGTTCGAATCCTAGGAACTCTAAACATCGCCCCCTCCCCCTTAGCATTTCTGCCTAAAGTGATGCCATCTCAAAAGGGATGTATATTTAGTCGCTTGCTCCAAAAACAATGGTCTTCATCATTCCTCTGCATCCAAACCACTTAGCCAAACAAAAAGACTGCTTTTGAATATACCACAGTGAGTTCAGCCTTCATTCACTCGTTGTTCTGCATCAACTAACCGTACTCCAGATTGGTATTTCTATCGCTCACCATGGTCGAACCAATCAACATCACTCGGCGACAACGCGGAACTGAAAAGACAAACCTACGCCGTGGTGGTTCCTGGCGTGACTTGTCGATTCTCTCCCTCCGCCACGGACGCGAGGAGACAGCTGAAAGCTGAGAACGTCAGACGAATCTCTCCTGCTGCCGAAATCGTATACATGAACTGGTTGATGACCGAGAGGAAAATGGACGAAACGAGGCCAGAGTCCGCGAAACTCATGATGGAGTTCGCCGACCCATGAGCTGCCAACCAGGCCATTCTACGTGGTCTGGCGATCCATGGAAGGAACCACCACTGCCAGTTCTTTGACGGAAGTCACCACCTCCAGAAATGCTACCGCTGCCAGATGTACGGACACATAGCCCAAAATTGTAAGCCAGACAACCACTGTGCCTACTGCGCAGGGGATCATGATTCCAAGGAGTGCCCACATGCGCACGACTGCCGCAAGGCCAAGTGCGCTGAGTGTGTCAGGCACAAGAAACCCGATCTCAGTCACTTTGCCTTTGATCGGGGATGCCCTATTCGGGGCGAAGAGCTGGCAAAGATCCAGCTCAACAGACGCCAGGGCCCGCAGCTACACCCGGAACGATATAGCGAGCCCGCCACGCCGCCATCCAGCGAAGAAGATCACCCTACACCCTCCGAAACAGCTCAAGCGGATGCAAGAGCTGCTGAGGCTAGAGCTGCGAAGGCCGCGAAGAAGAAGCCATTAAGCCGCTCCCGCTACCGGATGAAAAAGCGGCGCGTTGTCGAGTCTAGCGAGGACAGTCAGGAAGAGATAGAAGAGGACCTTCGCGCCCTATCCAGCTATGGCGCCCAACCAGTCGACTCTGTAAACGATGTGGTAGTCATCGACTCGCCGAGAGAAGCTGTCACCTCTGAGAGCCCCGCGCTCATAGGTACACAGCGCCGAGGGCGCAGCGAGAGCCCTGACAAGCTCGAGGATACGACCAGCCAGGGTGCCCCACCCGCGCTATCTACACGCCGGCAAACACGGAAGGCCCTCCTTGAAAGACTCTCAATTTTATGATGCCAACTCAGCTCCTCGGCCAATTCAGGAGCCTGCCGACCACCTACCGAGTCACCGACAAGGTAGACTCGTGACCCTGGAATCTTAGATCCCCTCGCTTGTTCCATTTCGGGGCCCCAGCACCACAGTGAGTAATTCCCTGCGTCACTGATCACCTTTACGGCTTGCCGTGTGAGTTGCTGGACAGTACGGGCTTCGGCCCCGCAGGGATGAAAGCGATCAACTGGAGACGGGGATGGCGGGTTTGCCCTGTTTCCTTCGGGGTAAACAGTCATCGTCATGTGATATAGTTGTCCCGGCTATCATGTAGTGCCATGCGGGCAAATCGGGCTTCACAGCCTGACAGATCCGCGAATGAAATTTACTTACTTATGTCAGACTGGGATATGGCCCCCCCTAGGCCCTAAATAGAAACCGAGGTTTTTTTTTATGGTCTAGTGGTAAAATAGCCGTATTTTTTCCCACAACTTATATTATTCCCTCCTGACTTATAGGCATCCTTTTGCCCTCTGGCTCTAAGCTGTCAGACCCAGCAACTCTCTTGGCAGGTCTTGAGTGGTCTGGGGAAGATACATCGATTGGGGCGAAAGTACGGTCTCCGGATTCTTAATGTATTGAGATTTAAGACGACAACAAAAGGGCTCCCCTTCTCTCCATGCTTCCCAGCCTCCCAGCTCTGTATTGGAGCCCTAAAGCCACGCTCGGTGAATACTCTAGCAGCTTGCTACCAATATCCCTATATATGACTTGGAAATGCCAGATTGTTGCTGGTTGGCGTACGTATGACAGGTTCACTAACAAATATTCCTGGCCCAGCTGTCAATGCGTGATGCCATACCTTCAGCAACTCAGTTTTTCTTTGTAGGTCCGTTTTCACCTATATAAATGAATTCATAAAGATTGTATTCAAGACCGGAGACTCGATTTGAATTCATTTACCGTGGTCTAATAGCACCAGTTCGGTAATCAGCTTGGTCATGGCGGTTTTGGATACGTATTTGATACACGGGCTCAATACTTCTCTCTGTAAGGTAATTACGGTTCTTCTGATCAGTCTGCACAGCCACCGTTTTAAGACAGATAAGCCACAATACTTATTAGCCTCGTAATTTTCGAGATACATGAGACAACTATGTTTCTGTAACATACCTTCATCGTATATTATTCTTTCTCTCTGGTCCCTCAGAATCAACATTCTTTATCAGTTGATATGCCATATTATGATATACATTTCAAGTCTCTTTGTAACTACAATTGTTCAGGCGGCCTACATCGGCTTAGTTGCATTGTTGCGATTGATCTGTAATAGCCCTCAGCTGTCACGATCCAACCTTCAGGGCGAGTTCCAAAGGTTTGACCGCTGCGCCAGGAGCAAAGGACCAGAATTCTAGGGCGTTTCCTAAAACCACGTTAGCTATATAAGGATATGGTTCGTCATATCAGTCACTAAACACAGGGGTTCCTCACGTGAAGGGTACAATTAGTCAATTACATTGATGCGTTGTTACAGGAGACAATAGCTCTAAGATCTCGGTTCATTGTGCCTGTTTACAGGAGCAACAGAGCTAGCTGTTCTCAGGAGCTTTGGGTTTCCTAAAAGCCAACTACTTGAGGGGTGGTAACGGTATAGTCTTTGAATTTATTAATATGACAGGAAGGGCACAGGTGCTCCCGGGAACGAGTCAGAATGGGTGGCGCTTTTTCCGCCAAGAAGTTTAAGTCACTGGAGTTGATGACCGACCTTGACCCGTTGACCATTTATTACACTATAATCGTGAGGGCTGATACAATCTTCAACACCAATCTAGCTCCATACTGCTATAACACCTTGACTTAAGACCTGCGGTCGTGCGAGCGCATCTGATACAAAAGACCAGTGGCATATGTACTACTGTGTCATAAAATTTGTTTGCAAACTTTGCAGTAACGCCCTATTCTCCCAGATTCTTCATAGAGCCTGAGGGCAGTCGCGATATTCTGGTAGTATCGAGAGTACAGAGTCGCAGAAAGATTTCCGTCAGAGCCAATTTCTTTCTCGTCATCTGTGACACTTTGCATATAATCGTTTCGTTCTTTCAATAGCTTCCGTATTTCTTCGTCGACAGGGTTCCCTTCGGCATCGTAATTTGCTGGCATATCCAATGGCGGAGATAGAGCATCCAAAAAGAGGGGAAACTCAACAACCTCCCACGGGACTGTGCCCGCATTTTCCCAATCAATGACAGACAATATGTTATTATTGCTATCGATGGCATTGCTGTGTCGGAAACCTCGGTGACAGAGCGGGAAAGGGCCCTCATCTTTCACTAGGAACAAGTGGGCGTAGCAAAGGGTCAGGTGAGTGCCCCAAAATCCAAGCTGAGGATTGAAATGCGGATGTCTGCTTGAGTCTGTGCTTTTGGCTGGAGCGATCCCTTGTCGTTTGTAGCCAATCAAACCAGAGCGCGTCAAAACACAAAGAATGCTCCCTCACATAAGTACACTGTAAACGAAGGATCTTTGGTGATATCTTTACCCCGAGACTGCATAGGCAACCAGAATTGGTCAATGGGTTTGACACTACCATCATTTCTATGCCGGCGTACGAAGTGGGCTTTTGTAATTTTATTGCTTTTAGAAGAGTCGATTGGCGAGGACCATCCGTTAGAAAATAAATCAACCTAATGCCTATTGGGAAATTTACGGATAAACTATTATCCTATGTGATACACATCTTTGTCGCCTGATCGCCCCCTTCCTTCCCTCAGTATAAAAGCCTTCGATGCTCCTGACTACACCAAAATCTGATATTTCTTCAAAAAAATCGTTTCTTTACCAGATGGCCACC